TGAAAAGCACCCTGAAGAGAGAGTTCAAGATGTACGTGAAGCCGTCGAGAAGCAAACGGGAGGGACGCGCAGATCGGGTCCGGAAGATTCAGCGCGGCCGGCGCGTTGCCCGCCGCGGCCCCACAACCCCCTAGCAGAGGGGGGGTGGGGCCCAGGAGCGCCTCCGCGCCCGTCCAAGTGCACTTCTCCCGGGTGCGGCGCCCGCAACCGGCTGGGCATCCGGGCCGGCATAGGCCAGCCGGTTGGGGTTCCTCCGGCCACGCCGATCCCCCGACGGGGGAAGGGTCGGAGAACCTAGAGACCGGCCGTGGTCGCACCGGCCGCCCAGCCGAGAAGGGGAAGACGGGCCGCGTCCGCCCGCACGCCGCTGCCTCCTTGCGGCGGCCGCCGGGCTGGGCCTCCCGGCCCGCCGGAGGGCCCTGCCCGCCGCGACCGTCCCCGGTGGCGGCGGGCCGGAGGGCCCCNTGGGCCTCCCGGCCCGCCGGAGGGCCCTGCCCGCCGCGACCGTCCCCGGTGGCGGCGGGCCGGAGGTCCCCGGCCGGGCCGGTGTCGGCCGAGCCGAGGCGCCCCGGATCCGCTGGCGATTGTTGCGTGCCCTGCCGACCCGTCTTGAAACACGGACCAAGGAGTCTATCGGGCCTGCGAGTCGGGGGGCTGCCAGGCGAAGCCCCGAGGGGAAACGAGAGTGAAGGCCGGCCACCACCGCCCTGCCGCCAGCCCCCCGCGGCTGCGGCGGAGGAAGAGTGGGCACGCTAGGACCCAAAAGATGGTGAACTATGCCCGAGCAGGACCAAGCCAGAGGAAACTCTGCTGGAGGTTTGCAGCGATTCTGACCTGCAAATCGATCGTCCGACTTGGGTTTAGGGGCGAAAGACTAATCGAGCCGTCTAGTAGCTGGTTCCCTCCGAAGTTTCCCTCAGGATAGCTGGCGCCCGGGAGAGAAAGACAGAGCAGTTGCATCCGGTTAGCGAATGATTAGAGGCCTTGGGGCTGAAACGACCTCAACCTATTCTCAACTTTAAATTGGTGCGGGGCCCGACCCGCCGGCTCGGGGCAGGGCCCTCAATGCACGGGCGCCCAGTGGGCCATTCTTGGTAAGCAGGGCTGGCGCTGCGGGATGAACCCAACGCCGGGTTAGGGCGCCGCATTGCGGCCGACTCTCATCAGAGCCCAGAAAAGGCGTTGGTTGATACAGACAGCGGGACGCTGGCCATGGAAGTTGGAATCCGCCAAGGAGTGTGTAACAACTCACCTGGCGAATCAACAAGCCCTGAAAATGGATGGCGCTGAGCGTGCCGCCCACACCCGGCCGTCGGAGCAGAGAGCGATTGGGACCGCCGTCCAAGTGGTACGCCCCGACGAGTAGGAGGGCCGCCGCGGTGTGCGTCGAAGCACCCGCCGTGAGGCCGCGTGGAGCCACCGCGGGCGCACATCTTGGTGGTAGTAGCAAATATTCGAGTGAGATCCTCGAGGGCCAGGTGGCGAAGAAGGGTTCCATGTGAACAGCAGTTATACATGGGTCAGTCGATCCCAAGCAGGGGGAGCCCTCCGTCCGCCGCAGCGGTCCGAGCTGCAAAGCAAGCGAGCCCGCAGACGCCGGCCGGGGCCCCGGGAAGAGGTTTCTTTTCTTGCTAAGGGGCGGGATCCCTGGAATCGGCTAGTCCGGAGCTAGGGGCTGCGGCCCCGTGGAGCGCCGCGTCTCCAGCGGGCTCCGGCCGGCCCTTGAAAATGCGAGGGAGTGCGTGTACCGTCGCCTAGGGTCGCACCCATAACCGCAGCCGGTCTCCAAGTTGAACAGCCTCTGGTCGATAGAACAATGAAGGTAAGGGAATTCGGCAATCTGGATCCGTAACTTCGGGAGAAGGATTGCCTCTGAGGGCTGCGTCGGAGGGCGAGCGGGCGCCGGCCGGCGGAGGTCGGTCAAGCGCGCCGTGTCCGGGTGGCGGCGCTCCCCCCGCCAGACCGCGGGGCCGTCCGTATGCGGGCCCCCCTCCGTCCCCTCCGCCGCCCGCCCCGTCATAGGGGCGTGGCCGGCGGTCGCGCGCAGCGCCCGCGGACCCCGGCGCCGGGCGGGGGACCCCGTCAGGCCGGGGCGCCGGCTCCCGAGCCTCTGGCGCCGCGCGAGCCCGGACCGGCCTGGGACGCGCCTCGTGGACAGTCCTGGCTGCGCAGCCGCCGCGCTGCGGTCGCTTCGGCCGGTGCCCAACAGCCGGCTCAGAACTGGTACGGACAAGGGTAACCCGACTGTCTAATTAAAACAGAGCATCGTGACGTCCGCAGCCGGGGCGCTGACACGATGTGATTTCTGCCCAGTGTTCTGAATGTCAAAGTGAAGAAATTCAGCGAAGCGCGGGTAAACGGCGGGAGTAACTATGACTCTCTTAAGGTAGCCAAATGCCTCGTCATCTAATTAGTTATTAGAGATGAACATCGTGTCCAGCAGAGCGGCCGCTTTGCTGCTATCTGCTGAAACTAAACCTTCGATCCGAGGGATTTGCCTGCGCAGCAGACGGGCCGATCCTGGCGGGCCGGGTCGGACGACTTGCCGCGGAGGAGGCAGAGTCGCACCAGCACCAGGACCAGCGGCGGGCCCGACGGGACTCGGCGAAGGAGTGGACGCAGCCGGAGGAGGACATGCCGGAACTGACGGTGGAGTGAACGAGCGCTTTCCTTGTGGCCGAGGATTGGTTGCTGGGCTGCATGTGTGACGCGGCCGCCCCAAACTGACTTGAAATCCACGGTTAATAGTGTACCCCGCAGGAAGGCTCTCGGGGAGTTGCCAAGTCGGTCTCAATGCAATCGTGCGATCAGCTGTTCGGCACGGATGAACCATGGCTTCCAGCCTGAGGGCGGCATCTCGCAGCGGGCGGCGTCGGTCCCGCCGTGGGTGCCAGACGGGGAGCATTACGTGGGCGCCCGCTGAAGATTTCTTCCTCGTATTTCGTTGACCGCGAAAGGTCGCATCTCAAGTTACGCTTGGACTCGGGCGCAAAACCCGACTCCGCCCCACCCGTGAACGCGTCGGTGAGGCACCCTAGCTCGTAAGAGCGTCTCTCGTCGGGGTCTGTTGGGCCCAAAACATTACGAATTTCTCCCATTTAAACGAATCCGAGTTAGACCTCTCTGACTCGGAAAGAAAACGTCCATTCTGAAATAACAGCTTTCCTTTGGACAATTTTATTGCCCCCTTGTGATGATAAACCAGTAGTCCTATGCTTTTGACCGCTGGTAAAGGTACCAGTCCTTGGTACAAAGTGAATGATAGATTTGTGTCATCCGTCGCTGGTTGTGGTCATTCATCGCTGGATTGATCACTGGCTTGATGCTGTGTAGTGATATGAAAATGAAAAAATAACAATTTAGAGTTCATTGTCACGTACATTTAAAATCTATATGAAATGTTTGGTGCACGTATAAAGAGCAATTTATAACAAAATAACAATCATTTGCAAACTGAATATCAATGAGATAATGTGTCATCAGTTAAAATGAAATATTCTGGGGCCTTTTTTTCCTTTCATGATGGAGTCTCCAAGAGTAAATTGGCTGCCATATAAGGGCAAGGTTAAGGTGATTTCCTCATCTTCATCATCCATCATTTTACAGTCTTGGTGCAGTTCTCAAAATGTTCAGTTTCTAAAGAAGGCAAATTGACAAGAAAATTCTCAGTTGGAAGTCGCGTCCAGGCATTCGATGAGTTGGGAAGATGGTGTGCAGCTAGAGTAGTCAAAGATGACAAATGGTCATACCTAGTGAGTTTTATTGGATATACTAGGCGTGATGAACGTTCCGTAAGACATCCAGTACCTCCCTATGAAGAGCATCATCAGAGACATAAGTAACATGCTCATGTTCCATTTTAACATTCAGTTGTTGGCCTACCGGTATATCCGAAAGAAATATAATTTAAAAATTAATATGTTATTCCAAAAGATATCGGTACTTGTACAAAGAATTTATGAATAAATAACAAATTAGTTATTTTCTTTTAAATGCACTGTACATGTTTCTGAAAGAAAAACCCAATTAGGAAGGATTAGCAAATCGGAATATTTGCGGCAGGCAAGTTTTCTGTGGTACATGTAAAAAATATGTTACCTGTTGATGTAATGAAATGCCAAAAAACCCTAGAAAGATATTTGAAAAGTCGTCCCGTCTTTATAAATCACAGATTTCTACCTTTGAATATTTTACAGTTTACCACCGGTGAGCATAACAGCCAAAAAATATTATATATCTTTGTTACAGAAAACTGCAGGCAAGCCACAAAAAAATCACGAAAAAGAATCAAGTGTCAAAGGAAGCAGTAAAGTTTTTGAGAGAGTGTCAGCAAGGCGACCAGGTTGAAACAAGTGATGGACACAAATGCACTATTCTAACAGTGGATCCCTTCAAAAGGATCTTTGTCCTGCAAGATGGAACTGCAGTAAACCTCGAAAACATTTCATTTCCAGGTGACGATTACTCAGATAAATGTTTTAGGGTTTCCTACATACATCTTGGTCATGCATTTTTTAAACTTCTTATTCCTAAAAAATCCTGGAAAGTCATGAAATGTAGTTTTCCAGGAAATGTAGTTTTCTGTGGAAACCCAGTTATCACAACTGGAGAACCATTTAATAACCAGTTGACTCTAGTGTTAGATTTAATTTAATTATTTTGATATGTTTTATGTTATTTTGTTTTATCTTTATGCTAGTTAATGAAATCTGTCTGGACTCTATACAATAAAACATGCCATAATCAGGAGGGATCACAGAAACATTTTTATAAATCCCGAATTTTGGACTGGTAATTTCCAGTTCGGGTTATTTCTTTCACAAAAAGCCTACAATTGCTGGCCTATTTGGAAAGACAATGAGAGTTGGGCGAACAGTTTACTATTTTGGATATATCTTTGGGAAAAGGCGAATAAAAACAAATCGTGGGTAAAACCCATTGTAGTGGCCAAACTCATTTTTGATTTCTAACCGATTGAGGGCACTGTAAGCGGGGACCATAAAAACAGCACTGAAAGCAAGATGGATCCATCACGTTTTGCATCTTACAGATTTTGATTCGTACATCCTGCCGAAGTTTATTAAACGGTTAGAGCTCACTATTCTCAGGATTCTCATATTAAATTAAAGAATTTGATTAAGTAATTACGGAGTTATTTATAGTCTTGTATAAGCCGAAACTCACTCATTTAGGCCATGCTGTTACATCGGTGGAATACTTTATTGTAAATGGTAAATGATACAGATACACATGGGGGCCTACATATTGGAGCTATAGTCAAAGTTATGGGGTTTTGTATTGTCTAACTTAAATATTGGGCATCATACTCTTTTAGGGGAACTTAGATACATGTATTGGTGTCACTTAGATACACCTAAGTGCAAGTAATAATTGAGGTCGAAGTAAACATTGGGTGCATGTATATTTACATGTTCAAAGTGGGCACACATACATGCATTATTATCACCTGGACGTGGGATGTACCGTACTCTTAATTTATGCTTTATTTTAATCTTATTTTAGTCAATCTGTTCCTGTGCCTCTTCCTGTGTCTGTGCATCAAGCTGTATACATGAACAAGAAGAGAAGCATTAAGCATCTGGATCTGAAGTGCACACTATACATGTACAGCATTGCGTGTGTATCCTTTGGCAGATTCATGCTCAAATAAAGCAAGCCGCCTTAGCGCACAATTACGCCCCTTTAGGTGCGGACAAGAAACGGTAGCATAAAATACGAAGCAGCTGGGAAAACGGATCTCGAATTCTTTAATGGATTTCTCTCACTACTGCAGATGTTGATATGAACTTAAATGTATAGAGGAACGTGTGCCCTTTCCCATGACATAAAGATTGCCCGATTTGGAAAATTCTAAGAATTTGGGAAAAGTTCCATTATATGGACGCTTGTAATTATTCCGTCCAGTGTCCCATTAGCAGTCAGAAAGCAAAAACATGTCCAAAAAAATTCCATTGAAGGGGACGGAAAAACCAATTCGTTACTTAGAAAACACTTGAACGTTTTCAGACCAGTCTCGTAGGGTTTGCAGCTTTGTACACACGGTGTCAAGTGGCGTCCACATATGTAACACTTTCCAATATGGAGAATATGAAGTGGATAGGTGAACTTGTGGTGTTTCAGATGACCCCTCGATTGCAAGATGTGGATATTTTCAGATATTTTCATTCTCCCATATAGTGAGTCAGTTTTGCGCGGGAAGAAGCTGGATAAGGTGTGAAGACAAGCCAAAATCGCACTGACTAATGAAGCAATGGGACCTCAATCCCCGCCTTCTATCGGAGATGTTTCCCTAATTACAGCATGTATGGAGATGAAACATACATTCATTGATAAAGATCGTGCGCCCTTTCAGATGACATTATGATTGCCATATTTGGACAATTTTTATTATAGGGAGCTATCTTTGCACAGGAAGGGCCTCAAAAATTGTGGACAATGACGGAAACACACAGAAAAACGAAGCATTTGAACGAGAAATGTTGCTTTCTTTCATGATTATTTTCCCAGCTACAGGAGATATGGAGATGAAACTTACATCACTGGATTTTGTCCTTGCAGATGACACCTAACTGCCAGATGTGGACAATTTTCAGATACCGTGAGGTCAATCAATAGCATTCCTTGAAGCTGGTATATTTCCGCCACTCACCGTTACATATGAATCTATTTGGCTTACCGATGTAATGAGGGAGGTGTGTGCACCTTCCACCCTGCTGAGTGTGTCGACTGTGTATGTTTCTGTGTGTGCCTTGATATGCATGTCTCGTGCATTGCTATGAAAAATACAAATAGCTGTGCACGCAGCCGAAGAATTGCATGATTAAGGCTTGGCCCGGCCTTGAGTACAGCATTTATGCACATAGACTAGGTTTAAATAGCTAACCAGCGCTGGACAATGAACTTTGTCTAACGCCTCGAAACATAAAACAAACGTTTTTGTTTTCTTGTACAATGGAAACTAGTCCAGTCCTAGACATGTTTCAGTCATACAAATGACAAAAATGTTGAGTTTCCTTAATATGAAAGGACGGGGACGTAAATCTCCTCAACGTAACCAGGGACCATTTACACAGGGATTCAGTTCATACCTGATTTAATGCGTGTTACGGCCAGCAAAGTATCAAAGGAGAATTATATTAACTTCACACTGGATAACACATCCAGCCTTAGCAATGCAAGACATTGTCTCCGATGAACAACGGAGTTGATGATGCAGTTTTTGGTTCATGCTTTTTACCAAAAACATACTGATTGTTTTTTGTATGGTCCTCAGCATATCAGCAGTCTTAGTAATGAACCGACCGTAACCTTTATTTTGGCTTATAAGACTCACGGGGGACGCCATGTTTACTGATATGTGATACCCATGAAAGGTCACATGACATAGCGGGCGCAGTCGGTCTACTGGCAACATGTAGCTATAGTGCATGACAACAGACTGCAAATTTCTTTCATGGCATTCAACCATAAAGCCTCACGCGAGTTTTATCTTCCTTATTTGATCTTACAGCAGCAGCACCGTTGAGGGGATCATTTTTTAAAATAATCGTTTTATAAAAGAAGTGGTATTTTCACACAGTGAGAGATGTAACTTGTTTTTTTTCTACTTGTAGAGGGCTGAAATATAATGACTTGTAAAACAGATATTATGACCTTTCACAATCAACAAATCGAATCATTATGCTTTGATGTTCAATTTGTAGGTCTCATGCTCAGCTATTAGCATCTGCCAAAATTTTACAAAGATTATTGTTAGGAGCCAGCTAAGATGTAAGCAGCGAGCTCTCTCTGGTGAATCTTTATCTAATTCCTTCTTGCGTTCGGTATATGATATAATAAACCCGTTTTCATACTTGACGTTGCTCACAGTTCAAAACATATAACCTGTCACTTGAGGGAGAAAGGAACGGATCAGCACAGAGGACAAGAAAAGAAAGGAAAAAACCAACTGGAAAGAAAAATAAAACATGTAAAACAAAAGAAAACAAAACAACACTTTATTGTTAACACTTGCAATTATTGATTTTTTAATCAGTACTATTGGGCTATTGAGAGAGTGATTTTTAATGGAACATAAACTGAAAAATGGCAGCATCAGTGTATACTCTGTATAGTGCTAAATTTATATCCTTGTGTAGTTAATAGGTACCATTATATGCTTCCAATCATTGCCACAACCATGTTGATATAAAAAGCCAAGCTAAAAAGAGTAAACAGAGTAAATATAGTTATAGTTTTGACTAATCTGATGTAGAAAGGCGCCATAACGAGGGCATATCACTTCCCTCCTATAGTTGCAGAGCTCGACTATGCAAATACATCTCATACTACGCGAAGCCATATGTCAACGATTTACACTAATTTGCTTCCTCTAATTTACAAAAAGCTGCTAATAGCAACAAGTCAATATAAAATTTGCAAATGGTTGAAAAATTTTAGGTGATGAGACTCCGATTTAAATTAAACTGAATAAAAATGAAAAGGCTTTTAATGCGGAACAAAACTAAATCTATGTTAAGGCGAAAACATTCCCCCCCCCAAAAAAAAAAATCAATTACGGGACTTGAATGGAGCATATTGTAAAACAGTCAGGAATGCTTCTATACTTTTACGTAAGAGATAAACTTAATTTATTTGAGTTTGTTCGCTAAAAATCTGTCACAGAAAATAACGTGAAAGTCAAAGATGCTTTAAAAACACAAATGGTAATGTATAATTATCCGATTGTGTGACACTAATGCCGTAGTATTTACTCTCTTCAAGGATTATAATCATAACTATCAACATTAATACAAAAAAATTCCCAGATAAGCACTGATTATAGTGACATACTGAAATAAAGTTATTGAAATCTGAGTTATCTAATAAGCTTTTTTGTTGCGTAAGAAGCATCATTTCTATTGCCTGATTCTGGTAGTCTTCATTCTGGTATAAGGGAAAAGACAAGTAACACAAAACATTTTACGAAATGAGGTGAATTATTACATCGGGAGGTTTATTGGTTCCATTTGTTCTTTCTTTCTTGTTTTCATTTCTTTTTCCCTTTGTAATAACCAGTTATATTTTCAAGTGCAGAGGAAAGGAAGTACAATCGATTGCACTTTATGTCCATTCCGTATATTTTTTCAGTTAGTCTAACGGTCTTCCAGTGATGATTGTTGGGTGTTTCTGTTTTGTTTTGTTGGGGAAGTAGAGTTCGGTTGACTTTCCATGACCTTCATCGATGACCTATTTTATCGACGGACGACAAAGTGGACTTTGTTGTTTTCAATACTTCTTGCGGGTGGTTGTCTTTAGTTGCATGGTTACGCAGGGTGGAAGGGGACGTGCCCAAAGGGGGAAGGCAGTGCCCACCCCCTTTTTTGATTTTGAAACGTACACTTCCTACGTAAAAGCCATATTCACTCTGTATTTATTTTCCCCTTTAATTAAGAAATTTGCGCATACCTTGTGCCCCTTCAGAAATGCCACCGTTGTTATAATGCTGAATCTCCTACCTTTTGAGTTCAGAGGCCGCATTATTTTGCGTCTTCTTCAACAGGTACCAATTCAAGCTCCACATGGCGATCGTTTTCATTGTCTGTTGATGCCTTTCGACTTTGGATAGTGAAGACAGGTTCAACTTTGTTCTTTTTCCTCAGCGTTATGTAGAAAAGCGCAGCAACCACGACGAGGACGAGTAAAAGTGTGCCTATGATGATCGTCACCAAGGCAACGGTAGACATACCACCTACAAAATTTGAAAGAAATATTCCAGTTACACAGGAATTCTCAACATGGAGTAAGAAATCGAGCAAATGGCAAAATAATGCACTCGCTTTAGTTCAACTCATTTTAGCCTTTCAAGAAACAAAGTCCTTTCGACAATAGATGGCAACCTTAATCTTTTTTTAAATTCAATTATAACATGCATCTTTTCAAACTCTCAACGATAGTGTTGGTTGGACATTAAATTACATATTCATTAAAAATATCGAAATAATCCATTCTACATTTGATGGTTTGAGATGTTTTATGTTCTTGAATCGAGTACTGCCGGCAGACTAATATTGCAATAAGATGTATTCACAATTACGTCATTGCCATCTAGAAAGTTAACAATGAATATTTCATTGCTTGGCAAGGGCTTAACGTTGTACTTGCCTTCGCTTGGTACCGACTCCATCTCAGTTTCACATCTCTCCCCAGTAAATGCCGCTTGACATCTGGGTAAACAAACAGCATTTCACGATTGAGTTTTCTACTCAACTAATCGATTAATAAAAGGAAGGAAAGATGACGACTGTTCGGCATTCGCTCTAGATCAAAGACATTCAAGCAAGTAAGCAATCTACTAAGTCTTTGTTTATTACCAGCGATACTGACATTTGCTGCAGTTGAGTAAAAGATGCGTATAAGCAATGTTCTGAACAGCTTTTCACTAGAGGCTCTCTGAAATCTGAATTCATCTCTCAATTTGATACGTAGGGCTACTGGATAATGCCAAGTCTTTTGTTTTAACTTTGCAGCATTCGAATTTTGGCCAATGTTCACTCCTTCACTGCCAAAACTGTGTTTAGACAGAAATTACTGTTTTCCAAACATTTTACAGCCATCTGTTTGTAAAGATGTTTGTGATTAGAGTTGGTTGTAAAGAGTTTGCCACTGGACCTTCATGATTAGGAATTGGACGTCCAAAGTTCAACATGCAAATATGCAAAGTGATGTCAAGATTGTTGTTAATTGTTTTAACAGTTTTTAGTGTTCCAGTTGCCACCCAATGAAGGTGAAAAGAAATATCCTTAATTTATTGTCAATCTTTTGCGATAAATGTACATTTTTAAGATCTGGCAAGACTCCTGTGATGCATGATTTATAATTTAATACTCAGAAGCGACGTAAAATGACATATGGTGATGCTATACGCAATTAATACAAATAATCACCTGCATATAAGCCACGGAGAGAAATGTGGTCTTTCGCAGGTCCCGCCATTAAGGCATTGGCCAGAGGCACAGGCTGTTGACACCACTGCAAATACGAGGGGAAAATACGTTGATAATACCTACTGAGCACATAATCAAGCAGGAAAGTATCAATATAGCCGCCGAGCTCTCTCCCTCTTGGTACCGATGTTACCCATTCCATTTTTGTTCCCAATCTTTCAGTTCCCCAGTATCAATGTTCCTCATTTCCTATATTCTCCACGGAATGACCCATTCATATGTTTCAAGAAATACTGGGACTAGGGGACATGGTTTGTTGCGTATACGTTTAAATGCTTTACCTTTGGCACGAACAGAGTCTGGATCGATAGTTATCGTGACATTCCCATCAAAGACGGTTTTACTTCTGGATAGAACGTCCTCCAGATTGGCTGCAGAGGGCACTGTGCTTTCTGGGAACGACACCACCGATGTGACAACCACACTGCCTTCCTCTATCTTTGTCACTTCCGCTGACAGGGCGCTCCATGTGGTTTCGTTTGTTGCAAGCCTATTCATTATCTAACCAAAGCAAAATTCACCTAAAGTTAAGTGATGCGGAAATAGCGTACCTTCACCTCCTTTTTCTTTAGTTACAAGACAAATTCAAAGTGAACAGTTAAACCTTTGGGGTTTGAGCAGATCGCTAAAGCCGGAATGCCCCTTATGGGGTGTACATTGCTCATCTGTGGACCGAAATAATGTTGTTACCCCGCTCTGTCTTCGCTTAAACACCTTACAAGGCGCGTGCCACCATATTAATTAAAAGTACTAATATACTCAAAGCATTAGCAACAATCTTCCATCAAATTGGTTACAAAGGCAATCTGTCCCATTTGCTCTAATAACAGTTTGTTGTTGTTCCCCTTGATTCTTTCCTTTGAAGTTATTGAATACGCAACAGCAACAAATGTTTTATGTTGGGTAATTAAAAGCTTCATGTACCGCCCGTTCAAACATCGATGCAGTCCTCTCGAATGCGTTAGACGTTGGAGTCTTGAAGGCCTTCTTGAAATCTAAATTAGCAGTGATAACTACTCCAATTGAAGGGATTTCTGCAAATGAAAAAGTCATTACATTTTTAACTCGTGACCATTTGCAATTATACAGACACCATTTTTTAGCTTGCGGCTATGCAAATGGACGAAAAAACATGTAAGTATAATCCATGTTCCAGTTTTGCATTTAACACGAAGAGCATTAAAAGATATGCATGCAAATTATATGAGGCAATTTAGCCCTCTTACGCTTGCAAGAGCCATTATCCATTTTGACGTATCCCTCAAAGCCGCGGCATTGACACGAGAAGCCCTCTTCGTTCGTATCCGGCAAACATTGCTGCCCAAGCTCTGAACACAGGCTGCTGTTGGACAGACATCGGTTTTCATCTGGGGAATAATGTATCAATGATTTTACTGATAATGGTAAAAAATGACAAACAAAGCACCTTCGAGTTAGATGAAATTATTTCACCACTAATTCTGATTTTTTGGAAGCCGAAAAATATTGAAAAAGCTTCACTGGGGCAGTTGTACTGTCCAATGTCTTTGTCAGGACGGCAAAGTGCTAGCCACGCGCGGTCTGAAGGTGATTTTGCCTACCAATTAAAAAGTTGAACATGCATGTAATCATGAAATAATATTAGGCAATGATATCAAAGTAATTTCAGTTCAATTGTCAAATGGCTATATATATATTTCATCCTCAACTCTACTTACCTGCACAGGTTGGTCCAGAATAAGTCCATGGGCAAATACATTCAAGCGCCTCTTCGTCAAATTCCCCTCCATTCAAACAGTTAGACGCTGACAATTCTGATATAAAGAATGAATTCCAAATACTCTTTTGTCAAGAAACGGACAATAGAGTATTTTTATCACACCCAGGGGTTGAGAAAGTAACAGCAAGCCCACTAAGCTATGCAAAAATTAACAAGGATAAAATCCCTGAAATTTATGGACTAAGGTTAGTAAATGTGATGTTCTTTTCGTACACGAGACTTGTAATTATTTGGATTTAAAATAACAGCTGTTCCTAACGCTCTTCTCGCCCTTCTGCTCTCAAAGATTATTTATATTACACTTAAAATAGTTAATCATACTGCTAATTGTAATGCCAATTACATCACTTGCTTACTTAAACAAGTCTTCCCATCTTCGTCCAGAAAGTAACCTGTCCTGCAGCGGCACTTGAATCCCCCCAGAGTGTTCTCACAGATCTGATCACATCCACGCCTACCACTGCTAGCTTGGTCATCTGTGCTCATCTCCACACATTCATCAATGTCTTGAAGCAAAATAATCCAGAAAAATTGTTTGTTTTTCATGGCGATGTCACTTTCTACCAAACACTGTTTATTACAACTGGCACCTTGACCTTGAAATATTGTAATTTATTTTCCTAAATATAATTTATGCAAATTCCATCGTTTCAATAGTGAGTCGCAGTACGGTGCACCATTAAGCCTTACCTTTGAGACACCGAATCTGCAAATTTTCATATTAGTATGAAGCATTTAATCTCTTTGTCTTCATTACTTCTGGACTATACCGTACAAACAGAACGGAATGTTTACAGAAAAGCGCCATGATATTTGGGCACTGTCTCTTAAGCGTTCCATTTGATTGTCGTGATGACGTAATCGAGATTGTTGTTTTAATACCTGCGCAGGTCTTTCCATCGCCTTCAAGTCCCTCTGGACAAGGTCCGCACGTGCTGTTTAAAAGTGGTGGCGCCTCATCTTTGCAATCCACGCCCAAAAAGCATGGGTCGTCCGCGCATGCGTCGTAGTCAACCTCACAGAACTCACCGCTCCATCCCGGCTCACATTTGCACAGCAAAACCTGTTAGATAAGTGCAAAGATAAAAATAAAAACAACCGCAAAAAAAGAGGAAACCGAATTGATTGTCAATTGCAGGTAAGAACCCCGTAAAAACAAAGCAGCTATGTACGTGCACAACTAATTACCTTCTCTGTTTCCCCTTTTTGAAACTTTTGGAGATTGGATTGGAGATTACTTTGTAATGGATGTCATAATCATCCCCACATACAGGCTCAAAATTACACCCCTGTACAAACAGACTAAATCTCTACTTACACCAAAGCGGTCTTGAATGAGATTAGTGCCATCAACGTACTGGCCCGAGAGGCAAGTTCCGCCATTTTTGCAATCACACAGACTCACAATCGGCTCAAGTGTAGAATTAGACCTACCATCAGTAGCTAGGAAACCGACTCTGACCTTTGACGTGTCCATGGGTAACCAGGTAAAGACTCCATCTATGAAAAACATCTTACTGTTTAAAAATGATCCAAAATCAAAAATCCTTCAAAAAAAATGAGCCAGGGGTGAAATCCTCAGATGTCGCAGCAGTTTCTCTTTTCTCATGAGCTCCGTCCTTAGGATTTTTAGAGCAATTCTGTGTCAGCATTTTGACATCATTTTTGTAAAATTCAAAGACACTGCTCTTACACAGAATCCCTTTTTTTCCTGAGACAGGTCAGCCAAAATTTAATTCTTTTCTGCTACATTGATCAATGCCTGCATGCTCGCACGCGTGTTGCCTCTAGCTTAGGGAAGACCTAAACAACCATAGGTTAAATTGAGTTCATTTTTTCTCATTTTCATGACAAGAAGTCTTTTACATGCACGCCAAGATCCAAAAAAACATCGAGCCTGGCACGCCTGTGTTCCTAAGGGGGCAGAATCCGCCCCCTCCTTGGCCTTGAGACGGGCCAAGATAACTTGACTCTTTGATGGTAAGTCAACCATACAGTTTCCCCTTAGTGTAATCCCAAATCCTGCAATAAAAGTAAAGATTTGCAGTAATCACCATTATGCATCATGCAGGCATTTTGAACAACTGCAGTTATGTACAGTGTGGCGTCTTCTCTAAGAAAGACGAGTTTAATTTACAAACCTTCTGTGAGGACTGCGTCCCGGACATCCTCTAATAAACGGAATTCTACATGGTCACCATCAGGATCAGTAGCACTTAATTGCAGCACCAAGGATTCGCCAACAGTGGCATCAATGCTGTCAATCAGTGTCAGCATTGGAGGGTAATTTGCTGAGGAATTACACCAGTAAGATCAACATTTGTTGGATTATAAGCCTACAGATTCCAGATTACGCACTCTTAGAAAAAAAATAAAATGAAAATATAACATTAATTATATTCTAGTAGTTTTTTTTTCTGAAAGAACTAATGAACTGTATAGTCTTTCTTTTCGTCTCCTACCTAGAAGTTAAATCCAGGGGGAAACGGGAACTGAAGAGTTCAATTATTTTTCAGTCATGACCATGCAAATTTCCATGCTAATCCAATATATCCACGATAAAAATTCTAGTCTTTAACAATGGAATTGATTGGTTCCATGGGCAAATATATCTTGATATCTGAAGTTAAGTTCGCATAACTTAAATAAATAGCTCACCTCAGAATCTTATATAAAAGATGTTACCATGACATTAAGGAGACAAACATTGCCTACATCCCAAAGGCTGGCAAGAACACTTAAAATGGTGTTGAAATACAACGTTTATGTTTCAATAGAAACATGGTTGCAAGCGACGCACTGAATGGAAACAATTCCACTTCCCTATTCTTACTTGCTAATTTCAGGTCGTCGGTGTTCTTTTCATTCAATTCCAATGTGGCAACTCCAACAGTTGTGTCATTCAGTACTAACGAATCGTACTGACACTCTTTGTTGTCCCCACAGATTGCAATTATCTTTTGGCTTTGCTCAGCATCAACACTGGCGAGTAGATCGTCTAAGAATTTTGGCCGGAAATCCAAGTCATTCATGTTATCCCAGCTCTCATCGGGCGGCAAGTAGTAGAAGTGCGAATCGTTAATAGAGACACGCCCTGCATGGTGTCAGAGAAATGTTAATTACTGTCACGTTCTTATAAATACTTTGACGAAAATTCTTTGAATGGAATCTGGAGTTTTATAATTGTGTGAATGTCATTCATATGCCTTTTGCAACGCAAGCAACAAGGACACACAAATTTCATAAAAACTTTTAAAAAGTTCGTTCTTCTAATTTCAACAGGTTACCGTTTCGTGGCAAGTGGCGATTTTATAATGTATAAATTCTATTACAACCTAAAAATCCTAGTAACACATAACTGCAGTCGCTTACAGGTTTCACCAAATTCAAAGTAGTCCACTTCAAGCATTTCCCCGTCGGTACCAGTAGGTTGCTGGAATGCTCCGTCACGCCTTAGGACATCGTTAGTACTGTTGCCATCCCAAACACCTGTAAGAGAAGCGTGCAGCATAAAACTGACAAAGATACAAAGCCAACTCCCATAAAGTGGGAAACAAGTTGAGACTATTTTTCATACAAAAAACCTATCTTTTATAGACTTATGTTAAGCCTAAGCTAGGGAACTTTCCCTCCCAAAAAGGGGAGAGAAAAGTAATAAATATTCCAAATACTAAATGGGGAAAAGATAAAATGTGAAAAAAAGGTTTGCATTAAATAGCTCAGAACTGACCTCACTTTCTTGACTCAGATGGCTTATTACCAGCTACCGATAGTTGCTTTGCCCCTCCTTCCCCAAGAAGAGCTTAGCTCTTCCTGATTTAGCCTCTGCATGGTAGTAGGTACTTTTTGTTTTCTTTTTTTTTGGCATGGAAGAAGACAATGAAAATGCTAACAAGTTGTTTTCCCCAACGCAGCTCAATACCTACCAAGTAAGCCCTTTGTTTTTCCTTTGTAATTCTGGCTAAGGTGGACAGTTATGTCAACTAAACTGTTGTTCACACCAACAGAAAATTGGGTATCAGAAGCGAATATTGCCACAACTTTAGGAGGATCATCTTCCTTTTTCACCGTTAAACCGTCGAAAACCAACCCTGAAACAAATTGATCAAATATTATCGTTAAACTTTCTTTTGAAATAGTACCATTTTAATTATATCAAGACAAAATAGCAAAATACGCATTAGCGCCTAAATTAGGACATCGTCCTTCCTGCTCACCAACGACTGTGGGTTCAACGACGTTCCCATTCACTGTTGTAATGAGATCTGTGGCATCTTTGTTGATTTTAACTTCAACCTAAAACGATGACAAGCACAATGAATGCATTCAAAATGCAATTTATACCTTAGCTTATTTAGAGAAGAGTGTGGAAATTATCACCAAATAGTTCTGGTGTTATAAGTTCACCTGTCCATGGAAACGTTGGCCTAATACAGCATATTTTTAGTATGTGTTGGTCATCGACGTGACTGTATGTCTATTCTTATCGTTCAAGGTAAGAATAACGTCTTTTGCTATTCCTGTGTTAAAATAACCCATTTGTTTCGTTTTCAGTTACCCTTGCACCGCTGACATCATCTAAGGCCGCAAAGCCAATGTATGAGGTCGCGTTGGTTAGTTCATCTCTGTTTGCGTCGTATACTCTCTGTGTCCGGCCTTGTAGTTCGAAGATTCTTTCGCCTCTACCCGGGTCTTCGATGAGAACTAGTGTGTATTCACCCAGGCCATTGAAGGTGTAGTCCAAACCATCAAGAGTTCTCACATGCGGGTCTCCCCAGAACCACCCTATTTTATTCGCCATAGAAAGAAGGCATAAGATAAGGGAATTGTAACACGACTTTTTTGTTACAAATATGAACTGAATGTTCACATGAAGTAAACGTAATTTGGCCACATTTAACAGGGTACATTTACCATAGTATTTAAACTCCACCCATGGCGTCTCTCATTTTTCTGGCGCTCCAAATGTTTGCACGAATGAATTTGTTTTTTGTTACACGAGGCTGAAATCATTCCTCGGTGTGAATATAGTGCTTAAAAACCACTTTTAAACGATCGGTGTGGTTACATAACAATACATTCATTACTGTGTGTTAATTTCTTAGCCAATTGACAGGTCAGACATTATTCTGTGACATCACAATGGAATGTGTAATGCATTACCGAGGTACATATACATCTGTATTAAGAATATCGGCTCTAAAATTAGCTCCCTCCCTTCAATTCTCAAAATTCCACAGCCGGTCAAGTCATCCATCCACAATGCCCCATTTTGCAACGGGACTATTTCGTCATAAGACGTATATCATTTTACTAAGGACAGAATATACAAATAAAAATATCAAGATTTCTTTATGAAGTTGAGAAGAAAACTGGTCCAGTTTGCTATGCAGGAGCTACAGTCTTTTTCTGTCTCTTGACTTGTATCGGTAAACAAAAGTATGCCGTGCAGGTTTCGAGTTGACGAGTTCCTTTGATAATGGAGGTTTTGCCTCAAATGGTTCGTTTGTGCGCCCAGACAAAAGGGTGTCGTCACGGATGGAGTTGCAGGCAACATATATCTGAACTCCTTGAGATGCTAGACGTGAATCAAGTCGTTCTACTTGCGTTGCTTTCCCTCAGTCAGCCATCCCTTCACAAGCCTGTAGCCGTACTGTACACAATACACCGTGGTCGCACACGGGCTGTCAAATTACTCTTATACATCACCAGTCAGTAGGTCTGACTTACTGGATAAGCCAATCATACCCCTCGTCAGTGATATGTCGTTATTCTTAATTGCATATGAACGACTGTGATCCTGTATAATGAATACGGAATTTCCACCAAGTAATCAGACTCGTAGACTCGTTTACTATAATGCAGGTATGATCGATGTAAAAACGTGTCTGGCTATGTTAGTGGCTGCTACCACTTTTGTTAGATGAGCTGATTAGCTGTGTACAAACGGTTGGCAGATTCGTCAAATCGGGATTTATGAACCTACAGTGATAAGTGGACACAAGAGGGAGCAATCAAGTAACGTAGTGCAGGCTCCACACCCACGGCATAAGCGCAGACAACGAGGATCTCGACTTGGTCAAGTCTATTGAGATGCTCACCTCCAAAGGGTGGTGTATACTCAGAGCAGGTCATGAGGGGGCGCCATTCGATGTAAAGGTGACAGAGGTTGGACTTTTCACAGCAGTAGTAACGGGAAAATACTTCTTCCTCTACACAAAATGAAAACAAAAATCCTTTGATAAATTAATACTAATTCGAGGTTGCCCAATTGTAGCACCCTTTTAGTTCGCGTTGGATCATTTTAAACACCAAACAAAATTAACGTGGATTCTTCGAAACATGTAAAAGTCTAATATTTGATACACAACTGCCCGATGATCATCGGTAACATTTGCAGTTGTCTTTCTGGATAAAACAAAATATTAATAAGATTGTAATACTTATATACCACTGTACAGTGTACACAGAAGCCTCAAAGCACTTCACAATAAAAACTTATAGTTAACACAATAATTTAATAATAATTACAAATATCAGCAAAAAAGCAGAGTAAACTTGACAGGTGTGGAGAGTAGGAGCGTGAAGAAGCAGCATAAAATGCCACTGCCTACCCAAGAAGCATTACTGCCAGTGACGTGGTATTACGCATTATGGTTGCTGCTATGAATCGCATTAGTACACACTCTCTCGTCAACAAACTGATTTTAAAGGATTTTGAAAATTACATTGTGCTTTTCTGATATCGACAAAGGTGAGGTATAGATGCTGCAACACGTATTTGTACTCACCGTACCACTTTTGAAACACCTCAGGTGTGTAGAAATTTTGACTGAATGGGAACCTCTCAAATACTGAAGCAACTCTCGGATTCCTTACGTCATACAACAGATCACCAGTATATATCTTATAGCAGCACTGTGGGCCAGGGGTTCCTGGGGCTTGGAAAAGTCTCACATAGCAAGCAACAGCTGTAGAAGGGAAGTTTGAAATAAAGACGCCAGCATTTGTGAACCAAGTGCTATACCAAGATCTTTGTTTCAATCTTGCTTAAAGTGCGGTACCAAAACAGAGCATGTACGGCCATTCGCTTTGGTGAATTAACGAAGAAAAACTACATCTGCTTTTCAAAAAGAGCTTTAAGTATCAGTTACAAATTCTGAAAGGGAACTCAGCATGAGACTAACATGTGTCTTGGAAGAAATCCCAGACGTCTCCCGGTGGAACATAATTACGATGGGTCATCCTCAAGAATCGCAAATCGCGCCTAGCATTTCTCATGCTGCAGGGACACGTGTCAGCAAATGCAGGATAGTACACATTGAAGATTGGATAGGGAGCCTGACGACTGTACCAGTTGTGGCAGGATAATCGAGGGTTGAAGAAATCGTTGGTGTGGCTGTCCAGCTGGAACACCCAGCGTCCCCTCTTACCAGAATTCCCAACGATGGTGCCTGGACGGAAGAGCGAATCTTCAGGCACATCTACGTACACGCTCTGGTCAGACTCTCCGCACGTGTAGCCCAATATAACATTTTTATTGGGAAGGAAGGCAGTGTCCCAGTTCATATTGCAAGGATCGTAGTTGAACATTGCATAGCTGTGGATAGAGTCTGTCAGTAGCACGACTTGAAATGTGTTGGTTTCCTGTAATTAATGTAATACCACGGGAATGGCAATACAGCATCAACAATCAAACAAAACAAATTAGTGCTTGAATGACGTGTATTTTGTTTCAGCTCCGCCTTTTAGGGAAGAGAAAGGATTCATGGGTTGGTATACGTTCCAACATGTATCTAGCTCGCAGACTGACACTGTTAGCTCTGGTAGGCTGTAGTGGCTGGCATTGTAAAAGTAAAAAGCTTAACGTTTTTCGACAAATTAAAAGATGTTTTTGTTGTCAAAGCCTGATGGCAGCTATTCGCTGCCATGCAATTACACTTTTCTTAACTAAACACTGTACTGTTCACAGATAACGGGAATGGACCCTTTTATACACGTCAAAAACGCCATAGTACTTAAAGGGAGATGGAGCACTTAATTCGTTTGATTCCCCCCAAAATTCGTGTTTCATAGGAATCAAAGGTCTAATGTTTCCCTATCCCTGAGCCGGCATTATCATGACTGGAGATTAACATTATACGATGGTACTCACAGTTGCCTTCGAATTGGGTTGTACACCACTCCAAGTAACGACTAGAGCCCAGTAGGCACGTTGAATATCGTCCCCAACTTCCAAGTACGATGACATGATATCTTTGATGGTTTGTAACATGTCTTGGTTGGTGGTTGGGTCCAACTGGTCATATACCTTAAAAATTCAAAAAGGAGAAAAATAATTTAGACTAGACGAATTATAAATTTGACACTGTTGCGTTAGCTGAAAATACACTCAGTTTCATAAAAGATGGTTATTGAAACGATTCTGCAATTACCTGCCAGAAAACATTTTTTCCTCCAGAAAACGCATCGGCTTTGACGTCGGCCCAAAATGGGACAACCATTTTCAATCCATCGGAAAACTTCATTTTTTTGGCAGCAGGAAAGGCCCATTTATTTAGTTTTTTATCATTGGTGAGAACTATGACACCGTTGTCGGTGAACTGCAAACAGAACAAAACAAAAGGTTTCGATATTGAGGTAAGACTAAAGGAAAATATGGTACGTACAAATCAAACATGATAAATTGACAAAATGTCTACAAACTAGGGAAACGGGAAGTTATTTGCTGGCAAAATGGAAGTCACAATTTTAATACAACATAACAATATTATTTCTTACGTAGAGTTTCTCAAGTAGTTCGTCGCAGTATGGAAAGAAATTTGGCGGGTAAATGGTTGGTGATATTAAATCCTTCTTTGACTGCTGATTCTGTCGGAAGAGAAGAACAATACCTCTAAGCAGGTTGTGTTTAAAGTTGAAGTGTCCAAGGCTCATAACATGGGAGTCGCTAAATATTTGCAAGGGGAGCATTCCACTCAATTTATAATTCAACGGTTTCAAGAATTTTTTAACCCTCCCAGGCCTGCCAGAGGAGTTGAAACACTCGGGATCCATTTTTTTTCTAATTACGTAATTAAAAAAAAATCGGCCAAATGCAAAACCCACCTGTTAATTTGTACCTCTGTAGATGCTTAACAGTCTATTTTAGTAACTTTTAGCATGGGGACTTCCCCTGAGCTGAGTTAATTCTTTTCCAGAGCCAACCTCAGCTACGTCCCATAGGGATTGTACGTAAATATCTTAGCCACGTGCTGATAAAGGATTATTGACAAAGACGGTGCCTGCATGGGCAAGCCTGGTACACCAGGCAAGATATGGGACTGAGGGGTACCTCCCCCTTACAAGTCAAATCCCTATACACACTCTAGACTATTGTTACCTAACACCCCCCCCAGAAGTCTGTAAAGAATTCCTGAGATTCCGATCAAACAATGACCAACACAAAGGCGGGGGGGTTCTCTCTGTCCCGTATCTTGACACCCTCTGATCAATTTAAATGCCAGAAGAAGGGATAGTAGATTTGGGAAGAGGGTTACAACGAAGAGATCTCGAAGTGATCTTCTTGGTGAAAGGAGCAGAAAAATATGCCCTTTGCACAAGGTTGCACAAGGAACTTGTACATTCCAAGCCACACTTCAACACAGAAGAGATGATATATTTTTTAATCAGTCATTACTTATGAACCAAGGTTCAGTTGTGTTTTTGTTTTTGTTTTCATTTCCCTGTTGGGCAAAATGAACAAGCATCTGTGATTCTCCTTTGTGAAATGAGGCACCCATCTTTTGTTTGGTACGCTAAACGAAAAGTTTTCTTTTAAGTTTTTGTCTTTTTATTCGGTACACTATGCAAGCAAATCGACATTTTTACCGATTAAGTAGGTTGGACTGAGTGCAATTATCCTTTTTTCGAGTACTGCCTACCTCTTGCTCAGCCTCTGACAGCAAAGCATCACCGACAGAAGGCTACCAGCTAGAAACAACAAAACAGCATTTTAAAGAACCAAAACTTGCTTAATCGACTGGAGTCCTGCTGCCGCGTAATTTATACGTGTTTTGATAGGGGTACGGTGGAGTAATATATACAGTAAAGGGGTACCGGCCCTCTAGTTCCCCGTACATTTAGTCAATATGCAACAGGATTCCTCTTTACTAAGACGTGCACGGTACATTATGCACACATATCGTCCCAGGGAATGTGGTGTGTAGGGGACGAGTATCAGATTGTCTGGTCTGTATGTCAGTAGATCAGTTGGTCAGTTGGCGGGTCAAACAATCTTCTGTTGTCTAGATATTTGTTTCCACATTTTCATGTCAAGGCCCACATACAAGCCACACCAGATTTAAGTGTACTAAATACCCCATTAGCTTCCCTAAGCCTTACCAACGACATTAAATCCAAATATCCTCGATCTTGCACAGCCGCCAGAGTTAACAACAGTGCAAGTTACTAAATGTAATCCAATTCCGAAGATACCCCCTGCTGGTCCGATGTCAGTTCCATTTCCTGTGCAGGTGATGACTAAATCATCCGCAGGAGTAACAGGGACAACACTCCAGGTCACCACAGAAGTTAGTTTTCCAGGTTCGGTGCACTTCTCGCCAACCTCTGATAGTGTGAAGAACGGATAGGCTGCAATGGAAAAATGTTGTTACAGATAGGATAATAATAATAATAATATTTATTGGGGCAATTCCACATACATCAAGACAAACACAAGACACAGCCGTCCGCCCAGGAGAACGTAGAAGCTTTCATCCACTTCCTTGTTTATTTTTCCGGGAGCAATGAACCCAGAGTAAAAACCTACCTTTTCTCATTCAACTCCCCCTCCAAAAAGCTGCTTTTGTACTGAAGCAGGAACTCTGGTTTTACTTTGTATCTTTCTTGCAAGACTTGGCTTTCTGTCGCCTCATCAGCAATAACTGATTCTCTATACTTACATCAAAACCAGGTCCTTAATTTTATACGACTCTACAACTGCAGCCCGGTATTGTATTTCACAAAGCCTTTCCCTAACAAAAGAATCTCGCATATACAGCAACAAGTTTACTGGACCCATTACTACTTGCAACGACAGATTTAATTTCGGCACGCAACATCTGACGTATACGCCATCCATCCTCTGTACCGGTTAGTCAAAACGACCATAAATCGAAATTTTCAGTACAAATGTTTTAAAACATATTTTCCTATAAGGTAGGTTAGGTTGACATTTGGATAAGCAGTTCCCCCGACTCCTTCCTCTCAAATCTTTCAGGCAAAGCAGTATTATTAATTACTAGACATCTTTATCAGAGTAAATTTATTTCCCTGTGGAAATGCTGCCAGATCGAAATCAAGTTTCGACAACTCCAGCCCGCCCAAGTATTGGAGGGTTTAATTTTTTAAACATTAAATATCGGTCATATTACCTGAAACAACGAAGGAGATCAAGCACTGTGGGACAACACCTGTTTGTGTATTGGAGGAACAGACGACTTTGTGTTTTCCAAACCCGAAAACACCTCCAGTGAGCTCGACTGTAGTCCCATCGATGTCCTTGCAAGTAATGTCGGCAGGAGAGATTGCGTCACCAGAGGGCTCGACAGCTTTGACTTGGGTCCAAGTAATTTCGACAGAGGTCACAGCATGGTACAGACACTGGTTAGATACTTCTGGGCAGTTGGTTGCAGTGGTAACTGTTAACATATAAGAAAATTGAAACATACATTTTTTTCTAATTGTATTCTCTTATGTTTGGATTACATGTACTAAAAACCAAATAAATCTAAAATAGAGAAAAGTCACCTTTTTTGTTTCGCATTCAAAAAGGCTCTGGAATTATTTAAATGTTCATCAATTCGATATGAATATGGCAAAGCTACCAGCTGTTTTAAACGTGAGTAATCACTTTCTTTCATCATAAAGTGAACACAAAGCCATGGAAAGGAACTATTTTGCTCTCATTTAATCCAAAATGAAATTATAAAGCGGTACATATCGCATTTTTTGCCCTACCGTCTCCAGTCTAAGAAATGTCTCCTGCAGCAGTGTCCCATTGCTATTTCAGACACAGAATTTACGGTAAAACCGTTAAAACGGTCACCACGTTCACAGTTATACCACAGCAGTTTGCATCTGAGTTGCCATTCTGGTGGAACACTCACTCTGTATGCCTACAAAGGTAATCGCTACTTTTCAAAAAAATTAAACGAGGAGGAGAAACAGCCAAGTATTTCAGTACTTGATCTGATGTACAAATTACCTTCTTTGCATTGTGGGCCGGTATAGCCTTGAGAACACTCACTAACGTCTTTGCAGTTTTCATACGGATCCCTAGGCCCGGTGCATTCTGTCCCGACGTCCTCCTCTAATTTATTTGGGAGACAAATATGTTGACGGCTGTTGAGTACATGTAGATTTTTACTTAATTTAATTGTCATTTTTCGACGATACTGCTAGGAGGACCATAGATTTCATGCACATACGCTCTTCATCACTTTCCCTGTTTGATTCTTGCGATGCACATGAATCTTTATCAAGGTTCGAGGTGGCAGAATTTATCCTACTTCATGAGTGTTATTCGCCCTGCAGAAGCCAATAAAGTTTAAATTGAGTGAGTCCTGACAAATATCTTTACCAAAGTTGTTACATAGATGAAATGCAATCAAGACACAAACGAAAAAGAGGTATGATGTTTTCCTACACGATGTTCTATTTTCATTGGAAAGAAATCTACAAGGAAAATGATTTTGCACAAGGGGAATTTATTTACCCGATAAAAAAGACAATCATCTTTGTCCTGAATGCAGTTTGGGCTTTTGTACGACACTGTTGTACATGCAGTACGTTTGACCTATGATAAGCGCTAATTGCAAAAAGTGGACTTGGGAGAGTAAAATCTTACGTGAGCAGTCATGTCCACAATATCCTGACGAGCAGGTGCAATATCCTTGCTGACTTGAAGAACATATGCAGTTAGGTGGGCTGCCTGTAGATGAGCAGAGCTTTCCGTCTGTGTGGGGAAATTTGAAATTTCTGAGCACATTTCAAAACCGGTAGTATTTTAAATTCAAACCTCGATACTTCCGATATTATTTTCTTTTCCAATTACTCACCAACAACTGAAGAAACGGAGACAAATATACTACACATTGCACTGTTTGCTGACTTGTCGGTGGCCCTGTAGTGGATCTGATGTGGGGACGACGCCAGATCGAAAGAGACGACGTCGCCAACCTGATATGGAGTGTCTCCGATGCTAACACTAAGGGTATATTCTCCAGAGTTGTCATGTATGTCATCGACATCAGGCAGCAATACGGTTGAATAGCTCTTGTGGCAGTCCGTGTACAGCGTCCAGTTGTTCGGGCACGACAGCTGTGGCGGTTCAACATCTTTTTGGAAAGTGAAGGCAGAGTGTCTGGTGATACTCGAGCTTCAAATTTTACTGATAAATTGTTACCCTTTCACTTTTAAGGTTTTTATGTCAAACAGTCAACTGTAATTTAATGTGGGTTTATGCATTGTGACGCTTTGACAGTAACATCTGCTTAGAAACAATACTTAGCCTTAACACAATTACAAAATATATATTGCAGACAGTAATGAAAAGTCTGACCTGAGCACGCTTTCCCATCTCCCTCGTATCCCTCATTACAGGTACAGTTAAAACTGTCATTCGTGTCAGTGCAGAAAGCATTCTCATCACAGTCATGTAGCGGTTCATCTGGGTCGCATTCATCAACATCTGCAATTGGGAGTAATTAAATAATTCAATCCCTATCCCTTTCACGGCCAAATATCCTGTTCAATCCCGGGATTAAGTATTTCAGAAACACGTTTGTTTTACTTGCAAAAGTACTCTGGACAGTGTGAACGTGTGCATTAAAATTCTGCCTGGAGAAAGAATAAGAATTATTTCAACACCAAAACAATTTATTTTTAAGGTTTCTTAAGTGATTAAAATGAGAGTTGTGAAGATCAGTCCTGATACATTATAAACATAAGTTCCTTTTCTTTTGGAGGTAACTTTTAGTCGTTATCTATCTGTTAGGGAGTTCAGTGTTAACGTGTTCTTTTACCAGGTGATTCGGTTGGGTAATCTGGAATCGTGCAATAGATGTAGTAGTCATCGCAGCAATCTCCGTAGATGTCACACGCTCCATCACACCAACATCCTCCCCGAGAACCGTCTTTGAAACAGAAATTACGACAGCCAACTGGAAAATAAGACATAAAAGCTACTTGGCAAAAACAGCATTTGGGAATTGTTTGTGATTTGAAATGCTCCCACTTCATTTACTAAAGGCATCAGCTATAACTGTGAAGCTACTCTCTCAAAAGAATACTAGCAAAACTCAAGAGAAAAAAATGAAACCAATTCGATTACTCGACTTTAAAACTGCTAACTTGAATACTAGTGATTATTTTAGCAGGTTTACTTCCATGTCTAAGACAGTCATTGTCGTTGAAACATAACATTAATGGTCACAACATGGACGTGCATTGTAGCGCAATCGCGAAGCCCATAATTTGATCAGCTAGAAAAGTTGTAATTACCACAGCCCTGTTCGTCGCTTCCATCAGGACAGTCCGGGTCACCGTCACAGTGCAAGAGATCGCTAATGCAGACTGACTGTCCACAGTCAAATTCTCCAGGAGCGCATGTGCGATCTTCCTCAAAAAATGGGAGTAAAATATATACGGTGCATCGCCATTAGTGGAACGTGCAAGTGATAACACCCACTCAGTGCCAATATCAAGTCGACCAATTGCTAACAAGTCGATTACAAGACAAATCTCATCTAACAGATGATAAACGGATTTAGCACAAGTCTGAACGTGCAAGGTCGGCATTTATGTTTTGCCAAGTTTCACCTTTTAATTCATAGACCTTTAATTGGAGATAAAAATAGTTAATTTAATACACGTCATTGCAGCTGATTTGACAGATTTTAGTTCATTGTCATTTAAAAGACACGGTTTACACAGAATAGAAAACATTTTACGAATGAATTACACTGGAAAATCGGTCGAGCCTGGAGATCGTAACAACTTTTACCCTAGGTTAATGTGTGGCGACCTCGTGAAATAGATTGACTTAAATACTTGTATCATTACCTGGGGATGCCACCCTGACAAAGTAATCTTTCATTTAGATCAGATAAGTGGTATGTCAAGTGAAGTTAAAGAAACTCATGTCATCGCATTTTAAAAAAGCAGAATGAGTTCACAGTCAACCAAAACTGTAGACCATTATTTTAGATAAGGCGTTGCTTACAATAAATATAACATTCCTCACCCTTAACGTCAGGCACTTGAATTTGCATTAGAAAATTTCTGTGCTCTACTACGAAATATATTATATTCAGACTTGGGCGTTCAACCAAAATTTGCACACGAACATAAGATTGGCATTGGGTGGACACTGTCTTTTCGTGTTATTTAAAGCGTTGTTATTTAACTTCGTAATACTTAAATTAATTATGTTTGCAAGATTGAAAAATATTCACCAACTTTTGGTATAACCGGCCCTTAAGCGTGAAGAGTGTCAAAATGATTTAATAGCAGACTTTGTTATCAAAAATGTGAGAATATTTCGTTATATAATAACACTACTTTGAAAGTAGTTGAAAGAAAAAAATAGGGACACAGCTCGCGAGTTATAGCAGTTGATTTGTGGTTTTTGTTTTTGACTAATCTCGAGTTAATATCTACATGTATAATTACCTTCCATTTAGTATACTTACCACGAATTGGTGTAACTGTTATGGGTTCAGTCGTTGCGACTTTTTCTGTTATGGGTTCAGTCGTTGTAATGTTACGATTCAGATCGTCTGTAGTTGTACTCTTTTTCGTGGTGACGTCTGAAAAATAAAAAACACAAAACACAACCAAGATATTCGCGTCTTGTTGGATTTGGTTAGGGTGTACATGCTACAAGAATTATATCAGAAAATCTAATTTACCTTATGGGTTAAAATTTATGTCTCAAGTCGTGTACTACTTCAACACACTAAAACAAGAAAACAAGTTCTCTCGCAGTTGCATGAGAAAGATTGAAACACTCTCAGAAAACGCTTATGTCTTAACAGATATCTTAAAAGTTGGGGAACAGGGCATTTGTGATGATGCAATCTGTTTGGTGGGCCTTTTTTGAGTTGTAGGGCACACTTCTTTCTAGGTAGAACTGAATTATTTAATACTAGGAGTTGGGCCATTTGTTTTATTTCAAGACATCAGCATTTCCAAACGTGACTACTTTTCTAGTGGGGGTTGTTTAGGAGATGGGAACGGAGGTTTTCCCCTGACGTAAGACCTTGACATATCACTGCAATTGATAAATCCAAAATTGAATAACTCAAAGTGAACGTTTTACCGCAGATTTCGCTTAGCTCATCCGTTCCATTGAAGCAGTCCTCCTGCCAATTGCACTTCATCCAGTCCTTAATGCAGACGGAATGTCCACAATAAAATTCCGAAGATGTGCAGTTGCCGTATTCTATATAAAATATGAAGCAATTCCCGCACAGATCGTTCAACTACAATGAGAAAAAATTAAGCTTTGATGATTAATACTTGTCGACTTATCATTTTACGAGACCTCTATCTAGGAAGATGTTGACGGCTGGGTTTGTATTGAGGCCACAAAACGGAAATGAGATTGCCTTTAGCAAAGCCCTGTCAAGTCACCTATTTTAGCCTTTTAACCCAGTTGTGTTTGAACGAATAGTAAAGGAGTATTTTACCATCAGAAGGAACACTTGTTGCTGAAAAAGAGAATCCCTTGTAAGATTTCTGACTTTTCTCTGATTCAAATTTCAGCCACATCGAAGGTCCTTTTGAGTAGAACCTAGGCCCTGGTCTTGAACCACTCCATTCGAAGAAGATGTTTTTGTAGTTCACGCTGTCGTTGCCGTCTCCCGCCCTTAAATAGTCCAAACCACGTTGTGTGTAAAAAAACGAGAACTCGATGAGAATTGTGCGGTTTTCGTCCGTTTCGAAAATCCAAGTCAAGTTGATATTGGCAGGATAGTAACTCGGGAAAGACGGTGATGTTATCTGGATGGTTCCATTTGCACCAAGATGTGTTACTTCATCAATGCCTGTGGAAGGAATTACTTGACATTTTGTGTTAAGAATTCCGTAACTACAAATGACGATGCAGCCTGCAATGAGTTGCAGATACTTCATCAGATACTTCATCGTTTCATATTTCGAAGAGTGTGCATACTTATGCTGGTACTGAAGTATAGGTGATATTGTAACTTGATGGTTTCATTTGCATCAAGGTCTGTTGCTTCGACTATGCCTATATGCAAGATATAATTTAACTTTGTTTAAAGAATTCCATATTCACCAGCGACGATGTTCGTAGTGATCAAATGCGTTGTAGGTACATTACCAGTATTGGTGCTTTTTTCATATTAGAGAATGTACGAAATTATACTAGTGCTAGTGCATACCACAGTTCCATTCATCAGTACCATCCCAGCAGTCAAAAATAAAGTCACACATCAATTCAGTACTTATACAAACAGAGTGTCCACAATCGAACTCTCCCGTGCTGCAGTTCAGGGTTTCTGTATGCAGAAGAAAGCAAAGAAACAAACATACAGAAAAAAGGATAAAGAGAAGTACACAGAAACATCCACCAATATTTGTTTCTCATTACACTAATTTGTGGCGACCGTTTTGAGGGCAGAAGAAGGGCAAATTTGCCACACAAGAGATACGTTCCCATAATTGGGAAAGAGCCTACCGTACACGAACATACTTATTACCTTTCCAGAGAAAAACAATTGTCAAAGAAGCGAGCCAGAGAAACAAAAATATTAAGTTTAGCTTTTTATTAATGATACCATCAATGACATACCCTCTCCCAAAAGGTCATTTGATGTAATACCTTCCGATCGAGAAAGTGCAAAAATACAAACTTCAGGTAACTGAGTTGCTAAAGAATGAAACAAAAATACAAGACTTTCAGTTGTGCTTTTTAAACAAGACACTTTTTGTTAGTTCACCCTGATGTTTGGTAGAATTCCGGGACTTCGCAGTTGTAATTGTTCCTTTTTAGGACTTCAGCCAAGCACTGATATCATATACAGAATGAACCAATTCAACGAATGCAGCAATGTCCACATGGAACGAGGTCTACTTGCCATTGAATGGAACACTGATGACTGATGCACGAAATCCTCGATCATTTACACTGTCGTCACTTGTAAATCTCAGCCACATTACATTGTCATTGGAAAGGAGATCAGGGGGTGTTCTTGTCCAGCTCCATCTGAAAAATGCCTTTTCTGCGCTTCTGTTACCATCCCCAGCTTGGAAAATATCCTTCCTGTGCTCGGTGCTAAAGTCAGAAAATATCAATCGAATCCTTCGGTCTTCTTCTGTGTTAATGATCCAGGTAAAATCCTCATTGTTCCGATACCATTGCCAATTATATTGACTAGATTGTATCCGGCCTTTTTCAGTTGCTCCAATGTAGTAGCTTTTTTCCCCTAAAATTACGCAGAAAAACAACAACAAAAGACACTGTCGACAAACCTACTACTCGCTAGCACGTTTCAACAGGCAAATGTACAAACATAGGTATAACACGTATACAAGTCAGTAAACTACGAATAGACAAAGTAAACCGGAGAATAAATTCTTATGGCAATGTTACTCTTTAAAGTCGTGTCACTAAAACATCTAAGCTATTTTTTTTCTTTTTTTACCACAGTTGTGTTCATCGGTTCCATTGGGACATTCTTCATATTTGTTACAAAGCGAAGATCTAGATAAGCAATGTGACAGACCACAATCAAATCTCCCGAGAAGACACGGATATTCTATGAAAAACAGAGAAACAAAGAAGTTAACCCTAAGGTTAAGATGTGTTCACCTCTTTTGTTTATCAATCGCCCCATAGGGATGTTGTCCACTTAACACTCTTGACTACTTGTAGTTGAGAAAGCAAAATAATAGGGAACAAATAAAGTAAATCAAGACGCAAAAATAGAAACAAATGCCTTCATCGTCATAAATATGTGAGAGGTTTTGTTTCCGTATGTGTTTTCATGATTCTGTGTCCTGATAATCTCCGCGAAAATTAACACGCAAATAAGGGTTCTTGCTTGTTTCAACACATACTATCGGACGATATAGAGCTCCAGTTTGTGAAATCCCAAAAACATGATATTTGAAATCAGGAATATCCGCCACAGTAGTTTGTTCTGTATTTGCAGCATGTATCGAATGGGATAAGTTGTGGAGTTTCTGCAGTCTTAGCCTGTTCAGAATACACAGCAACACATTCTTATTTGACACTTTCAAGTGGTAATTTGATAAAGTGGCGTATCTTGGTGTCAGGGGTACATTCAAAAGTGAATGCAGTTTCAGGCTTATCCAAAGCCTTACTAATAGTCCCTACATTGCTACTTTTTTCTTGATATTGGTTTTTAAGGGTTTGTTTGCTAATATTTGATAAATATAACGATTTCTTTCTTACCTACTTAGCTATTACGTTTTCTTTGTAAAAAAAAACCGTCGTGGGGAGGTACGTATGAACAAGCACGTATGAACTGCCCCAAAATAGCACAAGAACACTATTTTATCTGCTATACTGGAAATACCAAAGAATGCATTAAAACGTTTCCTTACAACAGTTGACACTTACACTGCGCCCCCCCACACACACACCTTACACATTAATAAGCTCTTAAAAGAAAGGTTGACTGTGCTCTCACCACAATTTAGCTCGTCCTCTCTATCGAAGCAATCTTTACGGTTATCGCACCTCAGCCATCCACCAATACACACGGAATGTCCACACTCAAACTGGTAAGGGGCACAGGATGCTAAATTGAAAGAAAAATATATCTATAATTTAGTTATATATACTGTACGTTGTGCTTCAGGGGGATAGGAAGACAGAAAAAGAAATTCAAACTCTTTAGGCTTTGGTAAAAAGTCGTTTTGACTCACAGAGAGCAAGCAACGCTTTTTCGGACCGAAAACAGAACCGTCCACAAACCGTCCGCAGAATGTTCAATAACCTATCTCACCAATGCAACTAACCTAACCCTCTTATGTTTTATAATTCATTAATTAAAAAAAATAGCTCACATAACAATTACGATCTTAGAAATCCATTTTTAACACATGAAATGATCCTAACTCAACTGGAAGAAACTCGAGTAAGACTATGTTGGTTGTCTTTATACCTAGTGTCATGGGCGTCGCAACGGCAGAATTGGGAGATATCCAAAAACGGATGAATTGGAAGTAATTAAAGGGGAAATAAAACAACGACTAGCATGAGAGACTATCTAACCTGTTGGATACCATCTCGAGAAATTGGTCCCTTTTACCACCCTGCAAGACATTATACATCTTCAAATATCTTCAAATAGTGACGACTCATGTCTTAGGAGAGGGGGAAATGGACTGTATCCAAACGACAGTGCTATCCATTTCATCGGTAAAGTACGTTTCAGCCCCCTCCCCGTCCAAAAAAGCTTTGGTACCATTTCTAGAATGCCAGCACTATGAATCCACGGAAAAATAATTAAAACAAAATTAAAACCGTAACATGTATAAAAGCAACTTACCACGCTGCCCCCCCGGTTTTATGCGGAAGTATCTTCGTTAACAGCCCTGGAGCAATTTTTCAAATCTCATTTTCTTCTGTGCTAATTACACTAAAACCACTTTGAGAATAGCTGTGTTTCTGATCATTAACAACTGCTGTATTCCATATTTGTTCAGTTCAACTTAAATGTCAATGCATATAGAAGTGTATGAAAGCGAGTTGTCTATAACATACAGTGTCAATGTTTCCCCTGCTTACAAAAAGAAACTAAGCACAACAGTACCGTTAGAAGGGACACTGGTTGCTGTTAAGGACATTCTCAGCGGCCTACTCGAACTCGAAAGTTTTCTCGTTTCCAGTCTTAGCCACAATGAACTTCCATTGGAGAGGAGGTCAGGCGCGTCGTGTAAGTTCGTGTAGTGTCTCCATTTGAAGAACACATTTTCGTTGTTCAGGCTGTCGTTTCCGTTGCCTACCTCCAGATTAACGCTGTAGTAGTAGTAGTAGTAGTTGAGGTAGAACGAAGAGAACTCGATAAGAATCCTTCGATTTTCGTCGGTTTGGATGAACCAAGTAATGTCAAGATTAGCTGGTAATTTTCTCGGGAATGCTGGCGATGTAATCTGGATGGTTTCATCCGCGGGAATGTATATCCAAGGTTCTCTTCCTGTGGGGTAATACAAAGGTGAAGTCAGTACCACCTTGGTACTAGGCATCCCACAGGATTACCTTCCAGCTGATGTTTCATATTTGGTCCACATAGTTTTGAATGGCATGTCATTGACTAATTTCAAATGATCGGACGGAGGTTTTTCGCCAGCCATTGTGATGAGAAGCTAAGTCGCTTTGAATAAACAGTATGCTCCGGAATTACCGAAACGTCTGCAATTCCATTGTTTCAAAAATATACAAAGGCGTTTACTGTGGGCTTCACAAAACACGAAAATCATCCCAAATTTTGAGTATTTAAAACAGCGTTAAAAGATCAACATCATCAGAATTCTCCTAATATGGGCAAATGAATCGAAATTAAAAATAAGCGAACATCGGGATATTGATTTCCAGAGAATGGCTACTAACACTGTGCATTATGGATCTGCAGCCCAATTACAGACATAACTTTGGAGGGGGGTGCGACGAAAGTTACCAAATAAAGATGATCCTTGTAAACAAAATGCCCAAATAATTTTTTAAGGACTGTTCTCCTATATTAAAAAGTTCAAATCGTGAAAAGATTTCTTAATTTTCCTGAACTGCTTTAACATTTTCTTGCCCACTTGGAAATAAATTACAGCTGTGAGGTAACACTAGGGAGTTCTATGAAAACCCTCTATCTTGAGAGAATCTTGACAGTTTGGAGCAATATCGCGCAATCCAAAATTGAGGATAGACACGAATTGGTGAAAAGATTGATATTTCGCTGATAAAATAACTGGAGAAATTGTCTTTAAAATTTTTCTCCAAAAGGACGGCTGCTTACGGAGACCCTAAAGGGACATGAGTTGAAGGCAAACTTGGAATACAAAAATAATTTCAGTTTGTACTTTGTGCGTACGAAATCATTTCGTGCGCTGAAAATAATTCATTTCGTTTGCTCGAAATCATTTTGTTTGCTCGAAATCATTTCGTGCGCTCGAAATAAATTATTTTGTCTGTTCGAATCATTTAGTGCGCTTGAAATAAATTATGTCGTTTGCTAGAAATCATTTTGTGCGCTCGAAATAAATTATTTATAGAGTTCATTGATGGAATATGGGGATGTCTGGCAGCTTATGCCATAAGGCACGGTAAAGGCAGAAGAATCTTAGCTAAATTAATCGAAAAGCTGGGTGACAAGCTACTTCTGTTTGCCAAACAAGGGGGACAAAATTCAAGTTTAGTTTATTTGTTTCCATGTCTTAAATGTAAGTTAAATATTCACACGAATTTAATGTCAAAAGAAATGATAAGGGAATTTCAGATGAGAAGCAAATTCTTGCACAAGATCTGGAACCCGTTTCTAATTACTTAGATAACAAGTTACACTCAGTTAAACAGCTGAAATGGTCAGTAATTTAAATTCCCGGTATTTTCAAGCAGACCTTGTGGCATCCTCGTCCCAATAGTTTCAATTGAAAGGAGGTGGTCCACTCAATTGTACAATGACTAGTTTCTGTACACTATCGGATAAAAGTAAAGCAATACTCAACGAGAAAGGGGTCCAAGTTGTGAATTACTTCACTTGTATACTGTTTTGCTTAAAAGGTGCAAATTTTTTTAGTATATTTCGGCAGTATATTGTTGAGTGTTTACCATTAACTTTGGAACTAGTTTTCTTTTTGACTTTTTACATACATGTATGTAATCGCGGACATGAGTATGTTGTGTTCTTTCACATTTATCTTTCACTAACTTTCAAATTCACAACAAGTATCCAGCAGCTGGATTCGAACTCACGACGCTATGCTTTCTTCCACAAGCCCTAACCATATGCCACATGCCTCCATGCTTAAATTGCTTTGTGCACGGGCAAATCATCTCACGCATTCTAAAACAGACACCTTGAAAAAGGAGTTTCTCGCTTTGGGGAACAAAAAAAGAAATTGAGTTCATTTAGCTAATGAATTAAGTACGTATTCACATGTCAACTGCCAGAGATGTCCTCTTTTAAAGGAAGAATGACTGCATTGCCTATTCAAAGTGTCCACTGTCAAGTGAATCCTGTTCGCTTACTGGTAGACGTAATTTATTTAGAGCACATGAAATGATTTTGGGCGTACGAAATGACTTCGAGCAAACGAAATGATTTTGAACTAACGAAATGAATTAATTCGAGCCCACGAAAAAGTTTAATTTGAGTGCACGAAATGATTTCGAGCACACGGAAAAATTATTTCGAGCGCGCGAAATGATTTGGAGTGCTCGAAATGAGTTTGAGCACACGAAATACCGTGGTAATTTATTATGAGCGCACGAAATGATTTCGTGCGCACGAAATAAAAAGTGAAATTATTTTTGTATTCTGAGTTTGTTCCTTTAGAGCCTCCGTATTTGCTACTACTTTATTTCGTTCACAATGCTCAGCAATTACTTTTCATTATCAGTAAATCTTTATGTATGTTTACTCAAAAAGAAAATGATGCATTGAAGGAAGTTTTTTCGCTTAAAAATTCTGATATTTCGTGTTCAGATGGAACTAGCTTAGTTAAGCAAAGCAGTGAAAAGCCTCAACGAAAGCCTCCAACTTTCCAACTCATTAACGCATCGGGGTATTTGCAGTACTACATTTGGTTTATTTATACTTGCTATTACCGCAATCCAATTCGTCGACGCCATTGTTGCAATCGTTGATATTGTCGCATTTCCAGGCGATGTCTATGCAGACAGAGTGCCCACAGTCAAATTGATCCATAGTGCAATTCAGGGTTTCTGAATTCAGAGTTTAAAAATATGTTGGCTTATTTTATAAATGTAGATACTCGATAATTATCTTCTTCGTCCAAAATAACCTACGACAGTTGCTATGTAATAGACAAGCGCTGCTCTTTACATGAAGAACGTGAATATCTCTGAAAAATAATGTATACAAACTTCGAATGGACTCCAGTGAAAGACATCTTCCTTTTCTTTTTCTTAATCTGAGTCTATCGATAACAATCCCGTTGGCATTTCGGAGTATTACAGAGTTTTGCTAAAAATGGTGTTCTCTCCCGCGGTGAATTCTAGATTTTTCATCAGGGCAAATGTGCTCTGTAGAAGAATCAGCGGCATGAAAGTATATGAACAAACAGATTTTTCTAATTTCCACAGCGGTATGATAACATAAATAGTTCATCACTCGTGACAAGTGTATGTTACAGAGGATTGTCTTCCTGGTTGCTGGAAAGTTGCAAGCTGTTGGCACAGTACTTATAAGGTGAACAGGCTGTGACTATCAAAACTATTGTGTTTATTTATGACATTGTTTTTTTTATATTTAATTGAAGTTTCATACTCGTCTGAAAGTTATTGCTACATAGACACAATTCATGCAATAGTGTGTGCATACCTGACCTTGGGACGCTTTTGGCCAACAAACTAAACCCGTCGTAGGTTTGACTTCCATCCGAGGTAAAGCGGAGCCACATCGCATTTCCACTTGAAAGGAGGTCAGGGGGTCGCCTAATCCAGCTCCAACTGAAAAACGGATCAACTGAGCTACTGTTGCCGTCTCCAACTTGAATAATGTCCATTTGGTGTTCCGTTTCAAACCTGTAAAACATTATCCGAATTTTCCGGTCCTCTTCCGTTTGAATAATCCAAGTGATATTGTAATTATTTTGATAATTTCTGTAATACGAAGATGACTCTATGTGAACTTGATCGGTAGCTCCGATGTAAACCATCTTCAGAGGACCTATCACAGTAAGATAGACACACCCAAAAAGAACAATAATGAATACTTATTTATCACTGCAAGGTTAAACACATTAATATCAACAGACGCAGGATGTGGTCGCGACTTCTCTTGTAATCAGCTGTTGCTGATACCTGTGGTCTAGACATGAAGCAGAAGGCGACACGCTGACGTTATGTTTCTGCTTAATCGAGATAAATGATGCAGTGAAATATTTCATATTTGTGCGGTGCATGGCCTAGTACGTGAAAAGCCACTCCGTCTCAGATTTTGAGACCATTACGTCATAACTAAACCAAACTTTTACATTTTGCCCACATACTTCAAAAATAATCGCGTAATGGGACGTGCCTCATTCAAAACTGAATAAACAAACTAAGTTGGGTTATCAGCTATTCAATTTGGACATTATCATACGATTATTTATTTTTAATTATGAAAATGCAGAGCATTAGGAAGGTAATTAAGTGTCCTCAATAATGTTTTCAGTGAATTCATCCTGGTTGAAAACCTACGTACCGAATCAAGTCTTCCAAGGGATGACATCATGGCAACTTAACGGTAAGTTCTCCATGTCAATTTGGAAATCACCGATTCGATTTTTTTTTTCAAAAAGGCGTGGTCTTTCGGGAACCAGGCATGCGCGTGAGTCAGCCTATAGGCTAGTACTGGTCATGCACTGTTGATATACAGAACCAACTCCAATTAAGTTGTTAGTACGGTTATCACTGCTTCTAAACAGTTATTCACAAAATCTATATTAATTAAAATGTTAAAAAGATTTGAAGTTAGGGGTATGCAAGATTTACGAGCGAATCTCTTCAAATTTCTCCTAAAGGTCTCATTCGGGGTATTAGTCTGATTACTTTGTTATCCATTCCCCGCTGATGCTATTGACTTCCCAAATCTGTTTTACACCCGTTTCAGGCAGGCGTTCTAGAGTGCTCGGATCGACCGAATTAAATTTTGGTTTCAGACGAACTTAATACACACATTTGCTCATGGCAAGAGCAATGTCTGAAACCAAGTTACTCTGGTGCCCTTCTGCGCGCCTTGAAGTGCCGATCTTTCGCCTGCTAGCAGGCTTGGTCGCTCCTAACTGTTTCAGACGTCGATTTTTCGCCGTACTTAATTCAAAATTTGCTTTTAATTTGGTTTGGCGCGACTTTAGAATGCCTGTCTGAAATGGGTATCTGTTTCAAAATAACAATCCAAAACGACATCTTGGGAAGACAAGCACCGTGTAAGAATCTTTTTCATGGAAATAAAGAAGACTTGTGTTTCCCCTTAGAGGTACAAATGACTTGCACTATATATGCGGAATGGTATTTGATAATCAAAAAGTTGTTTACCACAGTCAAGTTCATCAGTTCGATCGGGACAGTTTCCATAACCATTGCACTGCAAATCACCGATGATACAGCTCGAGTCATTGCAGACAAAAGCTCCCAGCGGGCATTTCACATTACCTAACACAACAACACAACCAAACATTTTAAATTACAAACATTTTGAACCTTCAAATAACTGTAACCAATAAAATGGTATAGGATAGAAACTTGTTGAAACATGAATAACAAACCATCGCACAGTTCTCAAGTTTTTGTTCGGAAAGATGTTTTTCCTAGTATAACTAAAAGTAAATATCTTGCTTAATTTTCTTTTGGCTCTGTGTGGATTGCTTACACCAAAACAACAGCTTAATTATATGATATGGATGTAAGGAAGGAAGGTACTCGACTAATACAAGTTGATGGGGTTTGTCTTCTTTCTCATTAACTTACCACAGTTGCGTTCATCCATCCCATTCGTACAATGAACAACACCATCACAGTACCGTTGTGGCTGAAGACAAACACCTTGGCCACAATGAAACTCGCTCGGACGGCAAGGATAGTCTGTGCAGTGTTGAGAATTAGTGAGTGTTTCGGATCGGATCAAGTTGGATAGAATGGGATTAGACCAGAGGGATCGGGAGAAAACATGGATTTTGGGCAAATTTCAGTGTAGTCGATTGCCAAGGAGTTCAATTGAGTGCAAATTTAGTAAGAAATAACGTGTGTTGTAAGCATTAGTGATAAAATGAGCACCGGCAGAACGCTGTCAGAAACTTGTAGCCGAACAGATGTCCAGGCTTTAAGGATGCCGGTATAAGTAAATAAAGGTAAAGCTCACAGTAATTGACATTATGCGATTCGGAATTCTTCACTGTAGCATACTTTGTTGGTGTCTGACAGGTCTGTGCCAGCTTTTTGTGATTTTATGATTCGATGACACTGTAAAACCCAAGAACGTTTAACACGTTATAAACCAAACACATTAAAGAGTTGAACACGCAGTGCCTTAAACGAGAACATGCTTAATTAACATATAAAGAGTTTATCATTAAGACATTAATCAAATGCCAACAGCGGCTTAAAACATGAATCCATTAGCTTCCGCCAATACCTTTTTGTGCCGAAGAAATTCAAATTTCATGTTGTAAGTGGTTAATTTCAACTGATAAGCCTATTAATTATTATATTTGATTTGCAGTTGTGTTTCTGATTGAGCCCTTGACTCGCACCCCGTTGCCCATTGCGAAATTAGGTTTTTGGGGTTTGATATAACGAAACAATAACATTCCAAGGCTTTTAACAATGTTTACCGCAATTTAATTCATCGCGTCCATCGTAGCAATCTTTTATTCTGTCACATCTCATCCATTTTCCAATGCATGCATTATGTCCACAATCAAATTCCATATCAGGAGAACATTTAGAGCCTGGAAAGAAACAGGTACACGCAGTGAGAATATGATTAGTGTTGAGATTCAGATACAAACGAAAACATTAGTCTACGCGTAGATCTAGCAATGTGGAACGTCAACTAATTCCAGCTAAAGAAATTTTTTGGTAGGATCAATCTTGTGCTGGGGTTAGTGGGACTTTCAAACCCTTTAATTATTAAGAGACGGGGAGTTTTTGATCATCTAACGGCCGAGGCGGATTCGTTCGTTACCCGAACTTTGCATGCATGTAAAAACATTCCTTATAAAAAGTCAATTTGAAATGCCGTTTTGTTGCTACGGTCACTGGGAATTGTAGGCCACATGCCTGCCAGCCCTCGCGCATTTAGCACGGCAGTGGAAAACAGTACACTTTGGCTAAATACATCAAAACAACTACAAAGAGTGACTAAAACTCCTAATGGCTCGGCTCATGAAAACAAAGCACTGTGGCAATATTCGAGAAAATGTTGAGGGACAAAAACCGTCCAGGCTCTTTTAGGGTTAAGATCATGATGTTTGTCGTTGTTGCACGAGTCTGGTTGCATAAATGTTTGACATTTAAAACTTTTTAGTAAAATATGTGTTTTTTGTGTAGACTTATGTCGTTGTTTTTTTTTTCAATCAAAGACAGCTGAAGAAAAATTACTGAAATGAAAAGTAAGCACATGTCTCTTTGGTGTTGCTGAAATGGTATTAAATAAATCGACGTTAGGAAGTTCAGATTTCAGGAACAAAATATTACCAGTAACAGGGATGCTGTGTAGTGACAAAGAAAACCCGTAGCCGTAATTTGACTGAGAATATGCATTGAAGTGAAGCCACATCAAACTTCCATTAGACAACAAATCGTGTGCAGCCCGATGATGGTACGAATCAAAAAAACCACTCTGGTAGTTAACGCTGTCATTTCCGTCACCTGCCCTGAGACGGCTGTTTGACAGGTGTATCATAGTAAACCTGATGCTAATCCGGTGGCTATCTTCAGTCTGGATTATCCATGTGGTGTCAACATAGTCTGGATAGGTACTTGGAAAAGCCGGCGATGTTACCACGGCTGTTTCGTTAGCGCCAAGGATGAGTGCACCATGACGTCCTATGAAGAAACGTAAACAGTACATCACTTAAAAAAAAAAAAAAAAAAAACTTCCATGGAACTTGACACTGACCTCGTTTGCATTCCCGCCCAATTTTTGTCTTCGGGACGATTATTTGCATGCGCGCATAATTATAAATTTATCAGTTCTCCACTACCATCAAACCATTCTTCACACACACAGCGCCTTGCTTTGAAGTAGTGAATAACAAAATTGATTTCAAGTAATACGGTGTCGTACAAATTTTCCTTAACAATAATGCACTTAACACGTTGAATTTTAGCAACACAAACACGGCTTACACGCTAAATATTTTGACAAATCGTATCAACCTGAATTGTTTATGATGTCTTAAATCACAACTGGATGGTCTGGTCATAATTTGAGGCATTTGGATTTCATCGAAAAGAATTCCATTCTTTCAGCTTTGCATTTATTTCGCTTTCCGTTTTCATTTCTTATTTGAAACAACTCTTTAAGTCTTTTCAAATCAGAAATAGAAAGAGTAATCTAAACACCACGATTTTGGTATCCATTGGCACCAATCATTTCAGAACAAATAAAGCCATTCTAATAAGGAGAATCATCGAAGAAGAGTGCACAATTTCTTCATTCTTACCACAGTTGACTTCGTCGAGGCCATTGACGCAGTCGTCAAAAGAGTCGCATATCCAGTCAGCATTAATGCAGACAGAATGCCCACAGTCAAACTCGTTTTCTCTACATATCAAAGTTTCTGTAGGGTTTATTCATGAAAATAAATCTAACAAATATAGCATTCAAAGACAAGCACAATGTTTCACAAGTCATCGAGACGCAGAGTTTAATTAAAATTACTACATTAACTTTTTGTCACGCAATTTCGAGTAGTTAATTGCGTCTGAGACCAACTTGTTGATGAAATGACCACTATTCATTAAAACCTTAGGCAGAGCGCCCTCCGTCAACAAATGAAGGCCATTTTTTATTTTTTTTAAAATTTTTTTATTATTTTTTTCGGCCAAATGCAAAGACCTTACATCTAATCCTACCTCTCCCGATGCTGAATAACCTAGTTTAGTCGCCTTGGCTGGTATCAGTTTCACCAGAGCCAGCCTCTTGCTAAGTCCCATGGGAATACATAGTAATCTCTCTGTCACGTGGCCCTAGGGGTTATTTACACAAAGGCTGCCTTGGCCAGCCAGAGCCTGCCATATATCAATTGTCGGTCTCCCTGGTGTGTCTCTGGGCTGTCTAGACAGCTGTCTGGGTTGTTTCATGTTGTAGGGGGTGTCACATTTTTGTTGACTTGGTGCCCCCCTGTACTGGATAAAAAGGCGCTGTGACCTTATTCTGACCTTTTTTTTCTCGGTTTTTTTTTATTGGTAGGCATTGGCAGACACCCAGGGACACCCTCAAATCAATCTAAATGCCATAAAGGGTATTTGGGTCGGGGGGGCATGATTTTAAGTGGCCTTCACAATTTGACTGACAGCGCGCAATAATCAAAAAAATATCACGTCGGTGCATTAACTGCAGAGAGTAGATGAAAGTACCAAGCACGGTTAGATCTCTTAAAGTTCTTTTTTTTTGATAGCCATTACATTACCATAGCTCTACAATCAACATGAACCTCCCCCACAAATATTCTGTAGGTTCCCTCAACTATAAGAGCCAACTTAGAGGTACCCAGAAAGGGTATGAGTCCCATGACCAGTAAAGGTATAAGCGAACAACGCAACGCAGAGCTATATACAGAAGCCAGTTGGTGCCAATTTGAACTATGCGAAAATATTCTTACTGCGAAATAACGCAATAACATTGCAAAATAACGCATCCTACACGTGTTTTACACGAGTAACCGAGCGAACTTACCCCAAATACCTGTCAAACTATTAATTTCACAAAGCTTTTGCGTTATTTTGCAATGTTATTGCGCTATTTTGCAATACTGTTGCGTTACTTTGCAATACTGTTGCGTGATTTCGCCATAAAAGGATATTTTTAAAATTGGCACTAACGGGCTTCCGTAGCTATGTATATCAGGATTGCACACATACCGGTGACTGAAACACTTGTTGCCGATAAACTGAATCCGCGCTCATAGAACCGAGTGCTAAAATATGTCAGCCACATCGTGTTCCCGCTGGAAAGTAGGTCAGGGGGTCGCCTCACCCAGTTCCATGTGAAAAATGGGCTGTCCGTAGTGATATTGCCATCTCCAGCCTGAAACATGTTCGAACTATGCTCAGTTTTAAAATCTTGAAAAGTGATACGAATTCTCCGGTCATCTTCTGCTTGGATGATCCATGTGTAGTTTCGAACTCCTCCCGATTGGTAATATGGATATCCGGGCGGTGATATCTTAACTTGTTCGTTAACTCCTATGTAAAACGTCCAATCTGTCACAATAACGGTGAATCAAAATCAAAAAGAATTGTACTTTTTGGTCTTTCTGAATGCGGTGCAATCTTAGATGTTAAAGATGTTAATGCTAATGTTAAAGATAAACCACAAAGTACAGTTATAGGCTTAACGAAGTCCATTAGTAATTCCTAAACATCACCATTATTGTATAAATGTTTTCAAGGCGACAATGAACACACGGACAAAGCTTTTCAAGGGATTACAGTGCCCTGTAGCGGTTTGCTGAAGTCAGTGAGCAGCTCTCCATTACACCATACTTCTGAAATTGAAAAGTTGGCAATATGACTCGATATGCAAGCCGTTATACCAAATTTGGATTTTTTACCGCGTTGCCGGACAAAAGAGCTTTCTTGAATTTTATAGCAACGCAACCATTCAGCAGTGTTGTAGTCGAGACCACTTAATTTAATAAATTTAATTAAATGACATCTTTAAATTACCGCAGTTTCGTTCGTCGCTCCAATCGCCACAGTCTGCATAACCATCACATCTCCAGTCATCCTTATAGCAGTACGAATCACTGCAACTAGATTCCCCCGGGGAGCACAGCAAAGGACCTTCAATGGAAACAAAACAAGACGGTTGCTAAGCAGGTTTAGCCTTAATCACCAGAGAATACCGATATGTTGTGACGGACTTACTTAACTCCAAAAATAACAAAACAGAAAATGGCACAGCAAGCTAAGTGGGTTAAACTGAAGCTTAATGTAAACAAAACGCAATTAAATTGCATAAATACCCAACTCTCCACTATCTCAAATAGGGATACCTGTCTTTGCAGGAGCAGTACCAGGGTTAACACCCAATTAAAGGTTGATTTACGTGGACGGACGTTGTTAAATAAGTCTAACAGCCTAGGATGTATGTAAAATCAATTGAAAGTGGATGATTGAGGGCTTTCAGAGTTAGGATTGCGTGACATTTTGCACTCGACAATCATGGTCTGTTTTCACGAAGAGACAAAATGCATACAAGACCCTGCTTTTTTTGCGAACAAGCAAATGTTTGTTTACAAAAATAAACAATCTTAATTGATCCCTGTAAATATGATTGTGTTTCTGTGTGTCATTTGAAGATCTGATCTTTCTAAAGGTTTTTTTTATTCAAAGGAGAGTAGGTCTTCAGGAAATCATCGTTTGCAAAAGAGACCAACTTTAAATGGATTTACTAGGAACCTGTATTTCACTCTCCGGATAGACTTTTGTCTTTTTATTATAAAGGTGGCGTAATGTTTATCTTCACTGGCATGCCCATGGCCTCCAGGTAACGTGATCCTGTCCTGCCAACAGATACAAGGATTGATCTAAAAATGTACTGTTAGTGCCCAAGCAGTTTGATATGTCCCCACAGCGTCTAGGTCTCTCATCCGCAAGAAAGCTTGGCGGAGCAGAGTTTGGCAGACTGTTGGATGTTTTGGGGCTTCCAGCACGCGCGACCAGAATCTGCCAAGAGCTTGCCTTGCCGTACAATGATCCTGGCATTTAACTCGCTAAAAAGGACTCTTGTGAAGGAGATAATAGACCGATTGCTCCTGCTAAGTCATGTGACATATAGTGGGTATTAAATATCAACAAACGTGGTACACCAAAAGCAACGTGTTTCATAAGTATCTGTTTTACCAAAAATAAAGCAGACGGTAGGTACCGCACCAAGATTACTGATGTGCCAGGTACTGTACCGCAACTTGGCTGTATATATATATTGTTTGTAAACAGCATTCAAAATACACATTAGGTCACGCGATTTACTGGACGCAATCAGTCTTTGTTCAATGTTTGCTTTACGACGCAGTGGCCGTCATTACTTCGGTTCAATTGAGCTATAATGAATTGGTATTTGTAGACCGATTCGGTGATAAGAATCAGGAGCTGTTACTGCGGTGCCCCCGCGGGCATGTACAGATGATATGCGCATTGAAATACTTCCTCAGCCAATGGGAGTGCACTTCTAACCAAAATCACGCCAGCGTCAAGTTTAGGAATGAAGGGACACCCGCAACCAATGGCTTCGGGGCGTTTCCAATTGTTCTGATGTTGGACCATCTTGAGGCATTATAATTAACAATCGCAATCCTGATGATTTAATGTCAACAGCCGTTTGGTACAACTGAAGATCGCCGCCTTACAAACTGGGTTCCTTGCGTGTGAGCGGGGGGGGGGGATAAGGTCCCGTTAACCACCATTGGTTATCGCCATTGTCGGTGGTTGTACTGCATGCCTGCGTATATATGTTAATGCTAGCCGCGATAAAGTGTTTTCATATACTTGTGTCTTCTGACTGTTTGCCCCCCCCCTTCTGAAAATCCTAAATACGCCCTTGAATTGCAGTTTAATTGTTCTGCAACGTTTATTCGTGTTCTGTTCTGCATTGGGTAGACGACAATGGGTACAGCTTTCCAACCTCGATCATATAAAAACGCACTTTTTTAACTTCTAGAGGCAGTTTCCAGGTATACATTATACCTAAGACAGTTAGGCCTTCTCATGGGTAGGCTTAAGTGGTTTCACTGGTGAAAACCGTCACGTGACTGGTCTCAAACGCAACAGCAAAAAATGCGACGACACCAGTTTAGTATTTGAGCTTGGAACCAGGGGTGGAGAATTATGGGGGATCACTTGCCCGGCCATGAAAATCTGAAAAAAAAATTGTGTGTGGGGGGGTGCGAACACCATATGAAACTAATGGATGTAGTTCATAATTTAGATGTACGTGTTATGCAATCCAGCAGAAATTTTAATCTCAGCGGCGTATTCATAGTTTTATTGGGATAAAATCTTTCTTTTGAGTGCTACTGAGTGCGAAATATACTTCACAATTCGTTTTGATTTTTATCACCACGAAAAGATAACAGGGATGATTCAATAATATAGCCATCCCTGCCCAAAAGTAAGGAGAAACCCCCCCTCCCTTAAAGGGTTTATGGAGGACACCATTTCGAAATGTGTCCATTTCAGTCGAACAAATCAAATGTTACCCGAAAAGGGGTGAGTATATTTTGAAGCTTAGTGAAATGTAGGGTAAGGTGGTTTGTGTTTAAATTAACAATTAGTGGACTGTAGTTTGAACTCGCTTGGCAAGCGCAATAGGCATGAATGCTTTGACCATGACCGACAAGTTGACGTGAAGCGCGTGTACTGACCTCGATAAGCATGTAATCACGTACGACTGATTGACGTACTGCTTGAGTGAAGAAAAACAATACAATTTATCAACCAAGCTGATTTGAAAGTCACACTTTTTGACATTTAGAAATTCATATTTCAGCCGGCGCAGATCCAGGAGACCCAAAAAGATAAAAAATCAAAATCATAAAAAATAATTAAGTAAGCGCACCGTGCAATAACAAGTTGAACAACGTAAGTCATGTATATTGTTTTATCATTGTTTGCACTTGTCCGCAAATTCAGAGATTTAAAACTCCGCCCCCACATGGAAAATTCCTGAATTTGTCCCTGTTCATCAGGCTTTAACAAATTTTCAAATAGGTTTCCCTTTTTCTTTGCTAAAAGATGGAGACAGTCCGGTTTGCGACACTGAAACCACTTTCGGCTCGAGTCAATATTCTAAAGCTCAGTCGGTCTTAAACATACACGTTTAAGTACAATATAGAAGCAGTCACAACCCTAAAACCGACCCGCGTTGAGGAATGTCTGGACTACTCAATATGACCAAATTGTCTCACAAAAGAAGAAAAATGCGTCATGTTCGATATAAACTGTGATATTCTTGTTTGCTACCATAACCAGCCATTCCTCATACTTTGAAAAGGCCTCCGTGGAAGTTGAACTTGCACGGAGTAATATTAATTTACAGTCGAACAACAAAATGACGACTTAGTGCTGATCCAGGAGGAAGCTTTGAGACAAGGGAAACCATATCTTACGTAGCCAATTGCTAAATTCAAATTATACATAGCCCAAAAAAGATTTGCGAGAAGTAATCTTGGATATTTTTCCTACGGTCCATTGTGAGTAGGTAATAGTTTATTGGTTGGTAGAATAGGCAGGCTATCATATGCTAGTTATGCGTACTGGGTTCAGTTTTAGAACATGAAAGTGTTTTTCTCAGTGGAACCCCATCATGCCTATGCATTACAAGAAGGCTGACTCCGTAGACTCCGTAAGACACTGGTGAAATTAAGAGCGTGTATGGCAATGGATGATTTGCCTCCCGGATGCTCATATCTTCTTTTACGAAGTTGTCAATACTGTCCTCGAACTTTGATGTTTATTTGAAGTGGTGCTTTATTGCCACACGCGACAAAAGCAGGTCAAACGTGCAACCTTTGACCAGCGTTGATTTCTTTGTAAATCGCCTGTTATTCTTTCACATATTGGTTAAGGCAAGGCAGCAGAATTTTCATCACGTACGGCTTCATAAACTGTGAGGACTCAATGCAGCTCAATAGAAAACGGACACGCCACTATACGATCCGGAGTATCAGAAGCGTGCGAGCATAGTTGAGGAATTCGGACCCAACATTCTCTAGCGACTATAACAATTTCATCATGAACGTACAAAATCACGTACACAGGTCAAACGAAGTTTTCAAATTCCACAGTAGACGTTATTAGAGAGTATTCAACAGTTCATTTCATACACATTTAGGACAAAAACCCCAACGTGGGAGAATAAAGAGAAGCGGTGGGCATCGGCATCCTATGCGGGAGGGGCACCAGCTCTGTACACCAGGGGCATGTTGATGTCATAAGGCGTCAGAAAATGGTATATTACCGTTTGCGTGTTCTTACCGGTATCTGCCTACCCCATAGTCTACAAATCAGAATGGGGCGCCTTTTGTTTTGGTTAGAACTGTGTATGGCCAACAAAACACCTCACAGAAGCTAACCTTCAATACATGATTTTAATTTTTTCAGACCAATCTACAATCTACCGACGTCCCCAGTTTCTGCTTAGGCCTATGTCGCTTGCACGTTCAAGCAGCATTGACGTCGTTTTATCAGGTCACGTGATAATGATATTATTTCCCCGCCAGAGTGGGAAAATAACGAAAGTTTAAATATCGGCAGCAAACAAGGCAGCCGTTGCTGTTACCGTTGAAGTCTATGGCGAAATTATTTTTCAATCGCTATTTTGGAATTTGTAACAGTAACTATAAATTTGCCATAGAGATTTTTAATGGCAAAATCTTCATTGATAGACTAAACTGTGGCAATACTTTATTTTTTCTCGTGAGCGTTTTCATCGGCAGAATTGAACTCACCAACCCACCGAATTAAACACCTCCAGTGCAGGATTCCACCAAAATCTCCTTAAACTGCTTTTAGAGATACCAAGTGAAAGAAAACTTTCATTTGGATCTGGGGAAGCTTTTTTCTTGCAAATGTGATCAATGAGAGCAATTTGTATTGAAGTTTTCGGCCGATAAAGAGATTTGTGTGATCTGCAAACTGTGATCTAAAAACAGCTCAAAAATTATGTCATCGTTTCACAATCGAGCCGCGTATGTATAGTCTGGTATCGTTGCTAGATTGTGGTTTGGTCCCCGACCTGGTAAAAGGGCCGCGGTGTCTTAATACAACCAGGTGTCAGTAGTTTTACAACTGACGATGTGTCCATTATCTCCGATAATTTCTGCAAAATTATGCAAGGTACAGTAAAATGCATTTGCTATTTCAGAATCAACAAAATAAAAAATATCAAAGCTAGTGCATTTTCCCCTTCACCAACTATACAGCGGACAGTATTAACATCATGTTTATGTCAAAGTCTCCAACTATAAAGGGGAATGATTCATACATACAAGCTTTACCTTCACTAGTTTGCGATCGTGCATAGCCAAAGGCCACGAGAAACGAGAGGGTCCACAGCAACACCCGGCATCCAACTCGGCAGCCCATATTGCTAAGATCTGAGCACGATGTTCCTTTTTATCTAAAGAAGCTTGAATCATCCACTAACAAAATTGACGAAATTGGTTGGCCAGTCTATCATCACTGGTATTTGGAGCTGAAACGTGTTCTTCCAATGAATACTCTTTTCTGTTGAAAAATCAGACTTCAGTATGCTGTTTTTCTCCACTAACTATTTTTTCCTATGCTACTGGTTTGCAAAACTGGTCGTGTAATTACAGTACAGTTCGGGTCTACCTAAATCACTACAAGCGTTTCATCAACTCGTAAAAATATGTACATAAATAGTACCAGTGGTATTTATCTTGTATTTGTACGCCCGTGACAATGGTGTTTCAGTAGTTATCGCAGGGGAAAACCTTTAAAGTTCCAGAGATCAGTTGCCTCCCGGATGCTCATATCTTCTGTCAATATGCTGTGTATGTCAACCTGTAGAACTTTGGTCTTTTGTTCGAGTGCTGCTCTGCGGAACATTGTGTCCAATCATTTCAGGGCATAAAGGTTTCCGATACCATTTTTCGTACGGAAAAAAATAATCATTCAAGCTATAATTATACTACAAGTCACTTTAGACCATTGCATTATCATGAAGCTGCGAATCAGTATGAAGCTGCCAATAAATAACCCATAATTAATATACCAAAAATACCCAGTAATAAATAATAAATACTTATTCTACAATTGGGGTAAAAAATGTGCGTACCGCATTGCAGTCAACTAATTCTGAGCAAAATTTCACAACCCAAAAGGATGAAAAAAGAACCCTCATGAGACCCTCATAAAATCCTTCCACTAAAGTTATAAACCACCAGAGAAGTGTGAAATTCCCACTCCTCCAGACAGACATATAACTCGCAAAAATTGTCCTTAATTAATTTGATTTTTTTTTTCAATTTTGGAGTGGATTTAAGTGGATTTACTTTTGAGTGTGAATCTTCCATTCTTTTGACTCTAGAGGTGCAGGGGTAATATACTATAAGCGTACTTCACGTTAGACTTGAAATCACGTATTTGGCCGGGTGTAGTCTGCCTTGCTTCGCGCCCTTGCGATACATACGCGGTTTGGTTCGGCTTGAATCTTAATGACGTTTACACGTGGGAACAGTCAGTGCAGCCTCGCTCCCCGTGTTCCGTGGTGCCCAATTACTTGAATAATTTGCAAGCCCTTTTGAGCACAACATATATGGGGCTTGCTACGAAAATTGGACGGAACACTCAGATTGGCTAAGAATCCCAATTATATGAAAATTTATTTTAGGGGCAGTTTGATCAGTCAGTTGAATATTTACTAGCAACAACCACAGTCTCGTTCACTGAAGAGGGTGTTTACATTATTCTGAAAAGATGATTTACCGTAAAAGCATCTTTTTTCACCAAAAAAGATAATTAATAGATTTTTTTCTTGAATACTTATGTATACTTTTTCTTTAAGTGACGAATTAAAAGGGATATTAATGTAAGATATAAAAAAATGACACTAATCATATATGGATATCCCTATTTCTAAAAAGGGATGGGTCTGTTATGCAGCCTGAGCTACCATTAGCGCTCTCCATGGAAAAATGTGAAAATGCAGTGTAGATGTTGCATGCATGAATATCCATCCACAGTCAGGTTGGTCGTTCGACGGACACCGAAATCTGGTACTGAACAGCCCAAGACAACGTGTAGTATATTGACACAGCTGAAGCAGCCCGAACGCTCGATCGCAGGCAACGGTGACCAGGCTCAGCACCAACTATAAAAGAACGCGGTGTGCTGGTCATATTGTTTTGGATGACAAACACGGCCAACTAACGACTTGATTTCAAGTCTACCTTCATGTAAAGTGATGAACTGAAAAGAAATTGGGTATCTGAAAGAGTGTTTGCTGTAATGATCATGATCTCTTTTTTACAGATGATTCCACAACATGTCAAACATAAATTATTTATATTCGACCAATATTTGTCTTCGGTTAGCTATATAAATGACTCTGTCTAATTACTGTAACCGTGTGGGTTCTTTGTTCCTGCGTGGTTGTTATTACTGTCCTGCATTCAATGATTAAACCGTGAAAACTTTAGACGAAAAAAATCGTTCCAGTCATTTTTTATAAAATGTTTTTGGTGACTGAATGACATGGCATGGAAAGGACAATGAGATATCGTATCTTATCACGCATGACATGCTTCCAAAAGGTTCAAATACTGCAAATGTCAACATTATCAAGCTTATTGTATATTCGGCAAAGAGATCTCGAGACTTTTGGTTTTACAAGTGGCTGCATTTAGTTTCGCTGAAAAATAAAATATCGCATATGCTTAAATTTGTTCTTTTTCATCGATGTGTTTGTATTTATGTATGGTTTTTGTTAACTGTTGTTCGAAGCTGACAATTAAATTTCAATGAGGATTTGAACTGGAGTTTAATCACATCCCACAGTTATTAAATGAAAACTTATTCAAAGTATTTTTTCAGTTTGTGTTTCGCCAGTTTTGGAAGGATCAAGTTCAGTAAATGTTACACGTCAAATGTATACACCATCCATTCCTACTTAACTCATCTCCCGTCAATTTCCATCCTCATCTGTTCAAAGACATGACTTGCAAGTACTAATTGATAACCTTCGTGTCTCTTAATTTTTATTTTTGACTTTGCAATACGTAATATAATGTCAATGCCTTTGGTTAGCTTATCCCACATAGAGGGCGTGAGTCGTGAAGATCATCCTTTCTCAGCTGCATGGTCTTACCACCAGAAATAATGTCAACATTATCCTGGTACATGGATGCAGCAGTAGGCCTTTTGTAATATTACCTAACTTTTTTAAGGTAACTGTAGATGGTGCAATTTATGGTCCGAGAGACTACCATGTTTTATTCCAAAAATAACAGTCAGAATTTAAAGATTAATCAGATTCTTCTGATTTCAATTGGATGTTTATTCTTTTGAAACTGGAGGAAAGTCAGCAAAATGTAAATTTCAAAGGAAACAAATCTAACATGGTATGCTTTAAGTTTACACGTTCTTCGTGGTTTAAAACAAATCCTGGTTTAAATTCAGAGTTTGAAAAGAAATAATTTAGTATTAAATGTAAATACATATTGTGAATAATACTTTTTGTTGCGAATTTTACGTTTCTCAACAAGTGTAAGTCCTGAAGAGCTGGGAATTGGACCAAAATACCTGTTTGGCATGCAGCTTTCTAATCAGACTGAAATTTTCGGACTAGTCTCATTGAAAGGTTTCATGCTAATTCAATTTGCATATTTATCAGCAGGAAGCATTCATATTTCAAGGCATATTTCAAAGCAAATTCATTTGAAATTCAACTTTGGCGGCATCTAGCATACCACGTCAGCGCGACCGGGACGCACTCTGCTACCTATGCAGAAAATGCGCACGGATAGAGTATGCACGATATAAAATTAACAACTTTGATGCGCTGCTTGATACATGAAGCATGAGTTCATTTCAGCCTGGAATCCACCTCTAGAGCCATCCCAAGTTTCAAGTCATATTTCATTTTACCCTGGCGTACAGCCACGTGACATTTTTTCATACTGCAGCAACCTATTGATGTTATTATTTGGTGTTTTTTTGGTTATTTTGATTTGTTTATTTCTCGGTACAGCTCGTCATGGCTTAAGTTTTAGTCATAGGTACAAAGGGAAAGGAGTTATTTCATGGCTAGATATGTTTGGCGGTAATCTAGCCAGCCTAGGCAAAGTATCTGAGAGGCGTTCGTATTTAAATATTTGCATAAGAGAAAATAGATGTAAACCCTACTGCATTGACTTTACTTTTACCCTAAACTTAAAAGTAGGAGAGTTCATTTTGAAACCAGATCTTGGACGCTAATATTATTCTTGCTGAAAAGGCATATAAGTAAACGTACTTGACATTGTTTATTCGTCGATACATCTAACAGCACCTTTAGCGGGCCTGTAGAGCACCAAGCCGGCACGTTTCTACACGGGAGATTTCTTCAATGTAGAAACTCCACTTTCACCGGCAGACCAAAACCTGTAAACAAAGGGAAACATCATAAAAATAAAAACATGGCACATCAAAACTTTTTACTTGATTTGTTATTTCCATGAAGGTTGAAAATATGAACCTGACCTAAGTGTGACCGAGAGAGCTGCGGTGATAGCTGCTGGATTGCTCCTTTCAGAACATTTTCTGTCTTATTTGACAAGATGTATTACATGGGTAATTCTGATTAATTATACCTGTAAATTAAACATGAAAAAGTGTGTCATGTGATTTATTTCTCGGGTGATTAGTAATGCACGAAGATTGATTAGTCACGTATCGAGGTCAATTAGTAATTCATGGCAATTAAATATCAATGCAAAAATATTAAACCCGTATTAACAAGACACTTCAAGAGGATTACTCCAAGGGAAAGCTCTATCCCAAGTGTTATACCTAATTCTTTTTCACTAAAACTCCGGCTAAACTACATCATAGTAGCTTAAAAATGAAGAGAACATCACTTTTACATTCTTGCATGTCGTGTAACTTTCATGGAGAGTCAAACATTCAGTAAGATAGATCTCCACGATGGTGAAAAGAGTCACTGTTACCGTCTTTCGAACGGTGAAATGTCATGCTGTTTTAGGGGTTCTACTTTCATGTTACATATTAATCAAAGTAAAACAATCAATCTATTTCCAACGCTAGGGTTAATTAATAGGGATCATGTATTATCCTGCTCTCATTGTGCAATTGTAAACTAAAAGAAACTCACTAAAAGTAAATTAGGTTATAATATTTGAATGGTTGAATTATTTTCTGCTTGTTATGCCGTATCATGAAATGCAAAACACGCAACGGATTTCCAACCCTTCAGGCAAACAATTCTTATCCGAATAAACAACAAAAGATGCGAGAACATATAAGGCCAACTTTTTTCCCAAAAAAACTGAACACTCTCGCAATCCTTAATTAAATACTCTGGCTATTTTCCTCTTGTTGCCTAAATCCTAATGAGTGCACTGAATCAAAATCAATTTTGTTATTATATAGCTCGTAGATTTTAGTAGCTTTGGGTAGAGCTGAAATATCCTGTCGACTGCACCTTGAACTTAACAGTAACCACTGACTTTGATTTATTTAATGCATCACACTACAAGAACTGGTGAAGTTCAACTGAAAGTAAAGCAGAGCGTAATAATGCTCGCAATTGCTGGCAACTGCCTTCACTTTACATGCCAAAACATTATATGTAAAACACAGATGCCTCTGATT